TCTTCATGGATTGTCTGTTCTCATATGAAAACTGTTTTGTTGTACAAAATACATTGATGTTAGGTTCTATTATATTTTGCCTTCAGAAAAGGAAAACTTAAAAATAAAATTTTGTGTATTGCAGCATTGCTGTCTTTTGGCTGCTTCTTCAAAGCTCAGATTGTACTTTGTGTTCTTAAATGTGTGGTGTATCTGCTTCACCACAGCTAGGGCTTGGCTTTCCATTCAGTTAATGAAAAGACACTAATAACTTTACAATTAAGCAACGGTATCACTGCCTTTTCTTACAGAGTTCAATTAGGGTGAATCCCTCACACTACAGGCAGTCTAGATGAGGTTTCCAGACAGTTAAAGCTCTTGCTTAAAGCAGGTTTAAACTCTCTGGGCAGTTTGGGTGGCACATTGGGCTTCTGATTCCCATCTCTGCACAGAGGTCAGTTTTATCCTCATTTGAATTTTCAAAAAGTCCACATACTCAACGGATTTTCTTCATACCACTGTTACTTCAAGTACCTCCAGAAGCTACATGTTTTGTTCTCCGTCTACAGAACAAAGCGTGAGTAATGTCAGAGAACTGAAGACAGATATATCTGTAGTGAGTGATTCGTGCTCTTACGTAGTTCTTGCTGTGTTTTTACTGCATTATTAGGGTTTTTTTCAAGTGTGAAAAAGCAAGTACTTTTTCCTATACAGATTAAACATCAGCATTATAAACTGAGACCAGAAGCTCATTAGCAAAATTGGTGTTAGTTCATGCACAATTAATAGAAAGGTTGGTGTTTTGTCATTAGTGCTTACCTCAGGAAATCTTATCCTTGTGCTGTGAGAGTTTTAGACAAAGTATTCATTTATAACTTAGCCACTGTAGATGGAAACTTCCCTCAGACATCTCTGCTAATGCATGAGGCCAGCTCTAAGGTCAAGAATTTGATCTGGAAGTTGAAGCAAGTAGTCCTGTCAAAAATTGAAAGTGCATCCTCACAGATGCCTCAGGGATTTTTTTTTTTTTTTTTTTTTCCAACTCCTTTCCCAGATAAGGAAGCATAAATCCAAAGCAGCGGGTCAAAAAATGCCACTTGGCCAGTTCAACTTTGCTGTTCATCTAAAAATGCTGAGCAGCTTGAGGGACTGTGATCACCAGCAGATAAGGGGGTTTTTTTATCAATGAGGAGATGAGTGAGCAAAGAGAAAACTCCCAGTATTCGAGTTGGTATAAAAAGAAATTGTTACTTAACATCAGGAGATGCATTACATTATTTTTTGCCCTCTTGATCACAGATTTGCTAGTCTAGATAGAAGAAAGATTTTTGTCCAAGTGAGCAATGGTACTTCATTAAAGCAAACACTGCTGTGCTCTGAGGCAGGAAGGCAGTCCCACACCAGGAGAAATCAGCTGTGAGAATGAGACCTGGGGGAGGACCCAGAAGATCCGAGCGCCCCGTAGATAAATGTTAAAACTGGTGAGATGCGTCACTGTTGGGGAATTCCATACAGGTTTTTAATCTCTGGCCATTATTCCTGCAAAACAATTCACTGTCATGTTGAAATTAGTATGGCTTACGTTTAATGTGGGATGTGGGATAAGAGGAGAGATAGGGAATTGCTGGTGGACAGCATGTGGAAGTGTGAAATGGGCCAATATTTGTGTTCTTGGCTTTGCCTCTGAACGGTGAGAACAGCCACAGAGAACACCTTTACAGCAGGTGCTCCTGCGTGTCTCCAGCTGTAAAACCAGGGACAATCACATTCCTTTGTTTGTCTCACAGTGGTGCTGGCAGAATTATTTAAGGTTGGTGAAAATCAGAAGGGTCAGGAGTAGTCAGCTCTTGATGTCCTGTGCTGCTTTGCATTGCTTATTCCCAGCCACCTCAAAAAAACCCTCAAAGTTCATTTATATCTACCCTACATTACAAAAGCACAAAGGGCTGTGATTAACAATCCTAATAGGTAAATGCGTTTGTATATCAGTGTATATCCATCTGCATACAAACCTCCGTGTTTGTCAACATCTAAGGTAGCAGTTTGGCCTTCTGTTAGCAGAAGAGATAATGTAAATTATGATCTGTGTGGGAATTACTGTCAGTAAAAGGAATGCTTAACTCCTGGAAGCATCAGATCCTTCCCTTGAACTATGAGGAACTTTTAGGAACTCAAAATATGTTTATGCAATTTTACTTCTACTATTTCTAGTATCCTTCTCACTTACAAGCAGTAATGAGCCGTGGATTTTATCTAGAAAACATCTCTAGCTTTAATTATAATTCTAGGCATCTGGGAGACAAGGCAAGTCAGACAAAAGGATTTGCTTTTTCGTCGGGCAGGGCTCCTTGCCTTAGGCTTTTCTGCCTCCGACATGTTTCCTGTGAAGTTCAGCATGGCTTAGATCAAAAGGCAAACACAGTCCGTGATTATAATGAAGGAAAGCCTCTGGCTTAGTGCAGAGATGAGCCCTCTGGAAATCTGGCTCAGATAATAACTCATCCAAATCTTCAGTCTGCAGATCTGAGGGCAGGGGGGAGCTTTTTTAACTCCAAATGTTAACAGTTCCTGTTTTTAAAAGACAACCTAATACAATTTGGATGCACACACTCTCTTTATGCTGTAAGCTACATAGAACAAAAAAGGAGAGACCCCCGGGAGTGTCAGGTAAGTCAAGTTAGCCACCTCCCTGTCCTCCCACTGGGTAGGTTTACAGCTGCTCCAAGGCGAGAGCCACACTGGGAGAGGTGAGTGCTGCCCCTAGGTTGAGGCTGTTGTTTCCTCGGGTGGTTAGTCGTTTGCTGTCGTTTGGTGTGAAAGCCGAATGCACAGACTCGGATTTTTCAGTGGGATAGCACAGAACTCCTTACCCCAGTAGAAAGGAGGAAAAAAAAAACAGTCTTCCTGTGTTGCGGAAGCCTACGGAAGGTAAACATCCCTCTCACACACCTGTCACTGCACGGAGGGCTCGAAAACCTCAGTGGCACCAGCTAAGGCACAGTGGGCAAGGTAGCCCCCAGCCCGCGAGCCGGCCGGCGGCCCGCAGGGCTCCTGCCACAGGGGAGCACAGCCGCACCCCGGGAGCAGTGAAGGAGGAACGCTCGGTGTACTGATTCCCGTGCACCTTCTCCTTTCACACAAGAGAAGATCTCAACGTTAGGAAGTCATGTCCATCTAATCAGGCAAATGAGCTGTTACGGCCAAAAAAAAACCCCAAAACAAACCAACCCGTATTTGTCATTACAGCCCATGAACCGCTGCTGGCTTTCAGCTAGTAGTACAAGTTCATTCGTGTCGTTTGAAGTGGCAGAAGAAACCTGCAGGCTCTTCTCTGTGACCACCAAACCGCCTCTGCCCTCGGAGGTGGCCCCCGCCCGCCCCGAAGGCTGTAGCCCTGCCTGAAAGTGCAAGGCAAAACCCACAGAGACAACCAGGTGTTGCTTCGTGCTGCTGCACTGCATTAAGAGCTGTTTTTTCCTAGCAAAGGCACCCTCCCCAGCCCCAAATCTTCACCAATCCCCAGTAAAACTTTCATTGCCCCTTTGCCACCGCACACTGAATCCCACAACAGGCCGGGCACGAAGCCCGCCGAATGCAGGTGTGATTTGGGCATCCAGCAGCTGTGCAGCACCATACTAGAAACGCAGTATTTTATTTCTCATTCCCACCTGCAAAGAAGGTTACACAAGGGATGGGAGGTCAGGGTGAGATGCACAAATTGGGTCTAGATAGTTTTGTGGGGAAAAAAAAGCAACACAACAATCTCTCAAGCTGCAATACCCATATGCCCAAACATACGCCACCATTCCTAAAAGTCATTCCCCATTTTCCATGCAGTAAAAGAAAATTACAATTTTTTCATAAGATTTCTCCTAAACCAGCTCAATACACTTTTTAGAGTAAAGTTTGTTAAAAAAGAAAATGGTGGGGAGGGAGCAATCCCAAAAAGCTTGGCAGGCTAACAGTGTTTCAGAGCGCTGCTAGATTCTGATTTCATGCAGCAAATTAAAGAGAACTCCCTCAAGAAATTTGGACTGCATATTTAAAAAAAAAAAAAAAAATTAAATCCTACAACCTTTTGCCTCAGCTGACATTATTCTGACACTGAGGTGTCTACCTAGAGACAGCTGTTTCCTCTTCATGACTAAATACATGAGTAAATTCATTCCACAGAACAAAATAGAGGATTATTTAATTTGCCTTGCCTGATTTCTGTTTCGTCTTCTTTTTTTCCCTTCTTTTTTCTATTTGATTAGCTGAAGGTCAAGGAGGTGCCTTTCCTAGCAATATTTACATCTCTGAGCGTCTTTTCCCACAAAGAAATAGCAAGAGCTCCCAGGAGTACTTTCTTTATGGAAGAGGCAGCAGCAGAAATGCTTACAGATGTAAGAAGCCTACCTTGAGCTCTTTTTTTTAAAAAAATCATAAATACAGAAAAAAAAATGTAATCAAATAATTGGCCAGATCAGCAGTTACACATTTGTTGCACTGCAAAATATTCTGGTTTTCCTCTGGTGAAGCGAGTTCGGTGGAGCCATTGCACTGCAGCTTATTAATATGGCAGTTGTGTGAAATACAAAATTCAGCCTGCTGTGCACACCTTTGGTGGGCGGGCTGGTGAACGGGGCAGCGGTTCTGGTGACAAAGGGCACCAAAAAGGCCAAGGTACTCAATGCCACAATCTTCCTGGTCTTACTGGTAAGACCAGCCGTCAGGAACCACAGGAACCTGAGACCAGGGGAATGTTTGGAGCAAGAAGATGTACCTTGGTGGAGGAGGAAGAGGACCAGGCTGGGGAATAAAACTTCTACCTTTAATACAGTGACCCCAAAACACTTTACCTGGGACTGCAGAGTTCAGGTGGGTTTGTTTTCTGGTGTATTAACCAAATAATGGAGCTAAGAAGCAATCTGATTTCATTACCTTTTATTCAACTGCCTAGAACAAATTCCCTTGTAAGAATGAGGCTTCCTTTTTTCCAAAACATTGAAATATTTTCAGCTTTACTACATGGGGAATTTGTAGACTACTCAAGGGTTCCCTGAATCTTCCAGAAAACCTGGCACAAGAGTATTCTACTGCTTTTAAGTTCTTGCTTTAATTCTTAAAATGTGACATTGCTCAGACTGTGAACTACACAGATTTAATTTCACAATGAAATTGTAATAAAAATTCTCCTTGGAGCTCACCTTTAAATGCAATTACGTATGAAATTTTCCTTATCCAGCCCAGAGCTAGAATTGCCAGCAGTAATGAGGCCAACAGTATAACTGCTGAACCGAGCATGTGTACACACATACAGGCTGCATGTGCGTGTGTGTGCAATGCACACACTGTACACTAAAGCGCCGACAGGGCTGTTCCCACTAGCAGCTGGTTTATACCCAGAAGCACGATTATTCTTACTTCTAGCCATGATCACTACATCAATGCCATATACAGTAATTGAAATATTATCTTATTGTCCAAATAAATACCCTTCTGGATCCTCTTAATCTTTTAATGCCAACTATGCCTTCTGGAGATGACTTGCCCATTTTAATGATACAAAGTTTTTCCAAAACCTTTCAGATATAAATGACTGTTCTCTCAAGGCCATCAAATACAAAACCTTATTCTTTCTAAATATTGGGGTTTTTAAAAAAAAACATAACCAGAGTACTCACTTTATTGCCACCATATGCTACTTGTATATTACTTTTTCATGTACTGTTTGTACCCACTAGGATTCCTCCAGACTTTTTCATTTTCATATGGAAATTTTACCTGCATCTACAATATGTTCTATCAGCCACTCAATCTCCTTTTCCCATGTTATTTTTTTCATTACCTTGCCTGTCTCTGCATTTCATGGATGCTTTTTCAGAGCCTTATTAGACTTACCAGCACAGGACCCATCTTTCATCTTGGCTCATTTGCTGATCTCTGCTCCGAGGAGAGGCAGCTGGTCCCTCTCTGACCCAACTTCTCTCCAACAAGGCTGAGATTTCTGGGCCGCAGCAACCGGCACACCTTTCCAGCACTTTGTTGTTTTGTGCCGGCCCAGCCTATAGACCTGGCACAACCTGTAACTGACTCCACCAAAGGCCAATGCACCCTTAATCATAGGTATAAGTTTTTACAGAAAGTACTCAGAGAAAATCTCATTTGGAAGTCCCCATCTGAATGGAATGTATAATTTTGAATACATTTAATAGATTTATTAAACTTAAAATAACATAGAAGTTGATAAATTCTTTAGCAACCCAGTCATTACTGAGACAAGGTATTTCCTTGTCCATCAGCTTCCTGCAAACATTTTTTTGCTTATTCAGTAAGTGAAAAATAGGAAACCTTATCCTTAGGTAGTTGAGTGTCCTATACCCAGCTCTCATTAGGCTGAGAAACAAAGCTCTTCTCTCCAATGCTTCAGATCACAAAAAACCTCAGCAGTTAATATTAATGACCTTTTAAAAGCTTTTAAGGCAAGTTTTCACAAATATAACTAAGGCATTTGCTTTGACTCTTCAATAGTTTATGAAAATGTTGTGGTTGAATACATCTCCTGCAGTTTCCTTTGCTCCTTGCTGTGGGCCAATTTCTGCCCCATGGGAAGCACAGCGTGCTAACGGTGGCTGGGGTGGCCTCAGGTGGCCACCCCACTGCAAGCCCCAGTCCACCGGGGATGGACAAACACCCCTCCAGTAAAGCCTTTCACCCAGCCTGGCCCCAAATTTTCTCTCATGGAGGGACCACCAACTGGTGCTCAAATTCCTGAGCACTTCAGCATCCAGGGCACAACTGTGACCAGTACAAGATCCTTTGAATGGTGCTTGAGCAAGCTCAGCCTCTGCAGTTGTTGGTGGTGGTGGTCTTGTACAAAATGCCCCATTTTTGCATCTTGCTGTGTTCCTGGTGGCAGGAATTAATTACCATAAGGAGTCTGGAGGAGAGTTGTGTGTTGGTTGGAAGAGTCCTGGCAGAAGTAGTCCTTTCAGAGCTGCGTCAGTTTAGGCACAGACAACCCCGCAGCAACCCTGTCATGCAGAAATTGGAAGTAAATGCTGCAGAGTTTGCATTGATTATTCATCAGCTTCTGTGCAATGAAAGACAAAGGCAAAGCTGGTGTAAAAGTAGAGAAGACCTTGGGTGCATTCCCTGCACAGACCAAGAAGGACAAAGGCTGCAGTCCTCAAGCACCGGTAGCCTGTGCGTCATGTCCGGGAGATCCAGGCAGCGCTCTTTGGCGCTTTGCAGGTGTGAATATCTACCACTTCGAGGCAGTCCTGGCAGCGCACAGCACAGCACCAGTGGAATTTGCACTCGCATTTTGTCATTCTGCTGACACGGGAGGTGTCATAGCCTCTCCCGCAGCACATCACTTCACAGCTGTCCATGCCGCGGGAGGTTTGGTTACAGACCCGACCAGCTGTCCCGAGGGACCCTACAAAGGAAATGCAGTAAAGGTCAGGAGCTGGACTTCAAGGAAGGACAGAAAGCATACAAAAATAGATACGGGAGACATAATATGCAATATATTTGATCCTTCAACATCACATCACCCAGGGCTCAATAACAATCCAGAGACATGCCTATAATAGGGTAAAATTGCTCTCAAATTCTCAAATTTCTCCTAGAAATCAGGTCTGGAGATGAGAAGGAGTAAAATGGACCAAACACCTCGAGGCTCTGCCCGGTTCTGTTAATGTCATCACACTTTGCTTCATCTTTCTGTAGCATCTTTTTCCTCACCAGCGAGCAGATACCCTCCCCGAGGCAGCCATGCAGCCCCCTCCTGCCCAGCTGCATCCAGTCCCCCAGGGCTGTGTGAAATGAGGCACCCAGGAGGAGCACCCCCACGGTGCTCAGGAGCCCATTGGCTTTTCAGGGCAGCTCTGGGTGGGCAGGGGAGGGCTGGAAAAGCCCTAACCACTAAATTTGGCGGCTGCAAGGGACATGATGAGACGGAGTAACTGTGCTGCCGGTGGGTAAAGTCTTTGCAGAAGCAAGTGCAGGAGCACCCCACCTGCTTGGCATCACTGCTGCTTCCCCCCATGGCCCCCCATCCACCAGTTCAGTTGGCAGCTGAAGAGTGGCTGCTCTGTGCACCTCTCAACTCTTTGGGGTAGGCACCAAGGGTTCTTCTCCTCTCTCTTGACAGGGATTAGAAGAAACTCAATTATAGCTTGTTGTGGACAGAAGGAGAGGTAGGGAAGCATACCACACCTCTTCATGTTCCTAATTCCTCTCTGGAGTGGCTGAAATGCCTCTGCCTGTCTCCACATGGCACAAAATGGCTCTTTCAAGGGATGTCTTAGCCGGAACAACTACCGTACCACATAGGAGCTGCTGTTCATCTGACACAAATTTACCTTAGGGTACACTGCAGGTTCTGTACCACAGCTGTTGACAGATTATTACCACCAATCTGAAAACTTCATGAATATTCATTGTTTCACCTTAATTTCTTATGCATTGTTATTATAAATCGATATCAGGTATATCCATGAGATTAATATTGTTCTGACATTTTCCCTAGACCAAAATAGAGCTCCATTCCCTGTTCTTGGCCAAAATGGGATTCCGTAAATACTGACCATGGTCATTAAATTAGCTGGAAACATTATACGAGGTCTATTCACAGGTATACATCAAACATAAAGAGTTTACCTTCTTAAAGAAAAAAGATACTTGCAGACATTAATTCAAATTTACATGAGCTAGGATAGCAAACCAATCTTAATTAATAAAACAAGCTGTAATTAAACTGCAATTATTAAAAATCTAAGCTGCATAAATTCTAATTATTTTTTTTCCCTATGGTGTACTTAGGGTTGGATACACTGCCGCTGCTGTACTGAAGTAGTTCACAACATACAAGTACTGGTTGTTCCTCTGGACCCTCCTGTCCCCAGCACCAGGGAGACTTCATGTCTTTTTGGGCCTGGGCCCCGCCACGGAGGCAGAGAGAGGTCTCAGGGACTTGATTAAAGTCACCTTCTCAGACTGTGGTTTTTCATGTGACCGATACATGATTTATCCTCTTAGCCATGGTGGGGGAAATTCTGCTCTTTTTGCCTCTAAGTCAGGACAGGCTTCAACTGCTGTCCCAAAGGAGTGTCTCAGTCCCCAGAAGGCACATCAGCCTTCTCTCCCGTAGCCTATATTCCTGTATTTATTTAAATATTAATTGGTTAGAAATATACACGTGGAAAGCTTCAATATCGAATCGCTGGGCCAGGTCTGCTGCAGGCAGAGCAAAAGGGTGTTGCACGGCTGCCTGGCCCCTGGGCTCAGCAGGTTGCCCACAGCCACCCTGGCCACCCACCCCAGGAGACACCGGTCCCTGCACAGGGGTCCTGAGCTGCAAAGGTGCTGCTGTGCCAGCCAAGCGGAGACCTGCTGAGCCACCCGAGGGGGAGGAGAGGACATGCTGAACGACGCCAGAGATGGGGTCTTGCACCTGCAGCCCAATAAATCCCAGATCTCCTTGGGATCCAATCCTGCTCACGCTGCTGCCCATGGACCAGCGCTCTGCGTAGCATCCTTGGGGACGCAGCTGAACAGCACCTTAAAGTAAGTCGCTGCTATTTGGGGAGCACCTCACGCTGATGTAAAAACTAGTGGCACGTTGCATCAGGCACACCCCGCACCAGGGAACCAGCAGTAACTCCCAGTCTCCTGCCCCACAGACAGTGCCGGTGCCTGGATCCCATGCGGGGGGTCCTGGGAAGGAGGAGGAGAGGAACCACCAGCAGTGACCCACGGGGGCACACACCACCCCTAGCAAGGCTTCTGCCACACAGCTCTCCCAGCAAGGCCAGCTGCACGGGGGCAACCTCCACGACAGGCAAAGCAGTGACGCCAAAAAGCCTTTCCCGGATCATTTTTTTAGGAATCACTCCACGCTGGGGGAAGAGAGACTTCCCCTGATCTAGGCAGGGCTGCAGAGTCAGGAGGATGCAGAGCTACGAGATCTGGCTGTGATCTCGTAGGAAGCCTGTGGCAGAAAGCAAACCAAACCCTGCTTCCCAGCCACCACGTTCTCCTCTATCCTCCACGCTGTGCAAACAGCTGGGAAATCTGAGCATAAGTGCTGGTGCTTGTGCCAGCCCACAGCTGTAGCCATCGCATCCCAAACTGTGCAAAACGCCTCTGAATAACCATTTTTATAGGTGCTTGTCCTGCTCTCTCTTCTCAGACAGAAAAAAAAAAAAGGTACAAAGGCCAAGTTTGTGACTCATATGATTAATGTTCCGCATCAGGAATTTGGTGTGAATTCCTGTTTACCTCCCTGCACGGGCTCCCCTCACCTCCCTTGCGGTGCACGCTGGCGGGGCCCAGCCCCGAAGTCCCGGTGCGCCTGGGCAGCATAACGCAGCACTCCTGGGGCAGGAATCTCCAACAGCCGTGAGGGGGGTTAGATTTCGAACCGCTTGGTGTTGCTCTCTCGGCGTGTGGTTGGCGTGAAACGAGCTGGGCACCCGGCAGCCGTCGCTGTGCCACTCCAGGCGCCGCTCCCCGGGGCAGCGGAGCAGCTCTCCAGCTCAGCTCTCCACCTCCCGACTGGGATTGAGCGGGGCTGTGCTGCCCGGCGGGAGCTGCAGCAGGGAGGTCTGACCGCATCCCTCAGCCGAGGCACGGGTTAGTTTCCAACTCCACAAGTTCTTATTTACAGAGCTTTGGGGAAATTGCACAGCAAGGAAGGAGAACCTGGACGGGCTACGCTGGCGGGTTTCCCCAAGAGTTTTGCCACTGACTTCAAAACCAAAATTATTTCAGCTGCTAAGAGATAGTCAGAAGCCAGTATCATCTGACACTGCCCACAATACAACATCAACATTTACTACACCACTAGGAGAAGAGACTAAATTATCTGCAGGATGTGACAGAAGAGAAAACAGGTTCGTACAAAAGCTTAGTTTCTGCGCAAACCCAATATTTTTCAAAAGGTCAAACAGCATCTTCAGCATCTCTACAGCTTCTCTCGTGAGAAAGAAAATGAGCAGTAACTGACAGCGAGCAGCCAGGCAAGTTACTGCACTCAGATATCCAGGTGATGAAGACAGCAGAAGACACTAACTAAAATAAAGCAGAGTTTTCTGATCTTTGTCTGCTACCTGTAATGTACCTCCTCATCACTTAAGAGGCAGGAGTATGTTCTAACTTGTAAAAAGTTTTTGTGCAACATCTTTGTTTTTATTTCAAGTGTTGGAATTGCCATGCCGACACACAACATTATACCTGCCAAAACATCCACAGCTTTTAATACTGCCAACTTTATGGGCCGTACATCAAGCCCTTTCTCTTGGTTTGCACAGTTGTTTTCTTAAACAAATATAGGGTAAGTTGAAAAATATTTTTTCCCATTCCTAAACCACTAAAATATATTTATTCCTTTACAGTGTGAGATTTTCCCTTTCTATTTCTATTGATTAAAAATATGGCTTCAGGAAATAAAGTTCATTGTTTGACTTTAACCTAAAAAAAAAAAAAAAAAAAAAAAAAAAAAAAAGCAGTGAAATCCCCAACAACAATAAACTACTCTCCAACACAAGTGTTTGAGGGGGAAGGGAGGGGAGAGGGGGCAGGAGGAAGGAAATATTCACAGAAAAGCAGCTCTGACGCTGCATTTTAAATCAAGAAAGATTCACATAAAACCTACATACAGCACACCAGTAGAGCAGGGCTGGAGAAAGCAGGCAGAGCGCGCGGAAGGCAGCCCTGTCTGGAGGGACTGGCATTTCCCAGGCCAGCAACGGAGAGATGGCAATGTGCTGATAAGAACAGCTTATCCAGACGCAGTTTAGAATAAACATGTGTCTCGTTCTAGTTTCCACAGCCACTGATAGCTGTCAGAACCTCTCGGCTCCCAGGGGCGCTGCGCCCTGGCCGGACCGCGCTTGGAGGAGAGCCGCTCTGATGGAAGTCATCTCAGGCTCCCCCCTCAGCCTGCGCGGGGCTGGGACTGCACCCAACGTGTTTGCAACGTGTAAATTGGGACATACGGGCCAAGAAGTCGCACAGGGACTGACTCTGTGCGGCTAACCTCAGTGAGAAGCCTCTGACATAGGTCAGGATTGCTTTCCCTCCGTGGGTTACATACCTCAAGTACTAACACATCTTGCCCGACACCAACACTTTGCAGGCTATACTTTAGTTTCACATTTTTCTTTCACTTCGCACTTGTCCTGGTTCATCTCGAAAGCGCAGCAAATGGCTTATGCGGGGCAGCAAGGGAAATAAATTAACATGAAAATTAGCCTGTGAAGGATCCAAAGCAGATCACCCTGAGCATGGAGTTTGTCACCCAATGCGCAGCTCGGTGAGGCTGCTCCCAGCCCTGCACGTGCATCTCCACAGGGCTTTCCCCGGGGACACCAGGTGCCGAGGGTCCTCAGCCACAGGCACAGCACCCCATCTGCCTGTTGGGGCCGCACGAGATGGCCACCACCATCCAGGCACACAACCCACACGCTACACACAGGCAGAGGCAGTGACACTGCCTGTGCCAGCACCCGAAACGGGACCATGTGAGTGTCCGGAGAAACCTCTGGGTGACTTGAAGCACAGGGCACAGTGGTTTGCAGTAGGTCCTGAGGGACCGCTGCAGCAACCTCAGGCTCTCTGCACGTAGACATGATCTGCCTCTTCGCTCCTCCGTTTCACGCAGCTGGAGCCTTCTTGTTACCAGAACAGTCGCAGTCAACACGTGCTCACCAACACCATCCTGCCGCTCGCTCATCATCTCCACCTTGAGGTCCACGCCTGGGGACAGAACCTCTCTGCTCCACATGCACCACCTCGACACGCGTAGCTGGGCTCAGCCTGCTCTGCACACTTTGGGGGGGGGGGGTTCTCCCTGGAGGAAGAGGCTTCACTCAAATACTGCCTAAGTTTTTTGGTTGTTCTGTGCCAATTAATTTTTAATAAGCCTGTTGTAAAATGTTTGGGTGTTTGTTAGTTTGGTTTTTTTGTTTTTTTTTTTTTTTTTTTGCAGTAAGACATTACACAGCTTTAATAATCTCTATGAGCAACAGCCTGTAACAAAGGCTCAGCCAGCAAGCTGGTGATGCCCACGCTACAGCTTCAATAGTCTCTGCTTGTCCACCAGCACATTCAAAACATGGTAAACTTGCAACAGCTTTCAAGCAGCCCAGCCTGCATTGATGGTCAAATAGCAATATTTTAAAACTTAAAGTGCTTCTAACAGCAGACAAGCAGGAAGGGTTTTTAGAGCATTTTGGAGGTGAAGTTACACATTCAGGGTGAAACAGTATGTGCGACAGTGAGACTGCCACTTGTGTAATCATCACTTTAGTTCCCTTCACAGCTTTATAATTTCTAACAGGTCTCTCCCAGTGTAGTCCTGGGTATGCTTGTACTGGCTCTGGGAGCTGGAAATTTATAATAATATAAGGGAATACCATGCAAAGTGTGGCAGAATTTGTAAATTCATGATAAGATTTTCAAAAGCCCTCTGGGATATCTTGCCTCTATTTCTATCAAATTATGAGTACAAAATTGTGAATAAAAATTATTTCAGCATCCACAGGAGCAGAGTTAAGTGAATTCTGAACACTTTGGAAAATCTTCCTTTGGTTCTTTTCTAAAAATGCAATCTTAATGCTAGGCAAGAGGTGGTTGGGTTATTACATTCTCTTGCTATTGAGTCGCTATTAGTGATTTCCACATACTGTATCTCTCCCAAAAGCAATGACTCCTCTTTTCCTGCTAGGAAAAAAAATAATAATACCACATTTTTCATGCTGTGGAGGTGATCCATGTATGTATGTCCAGCTGCCTCCCCCAGACAGACTGCCAGACCCAGTGGGGTGTATTCAGTCCCAGCAGGCTCCAGTGGCTGCCCGCCACCAGAGAGAAGAGCCAGCACTAAAAGCTCCGATGGCAGAAGAGGAGGTATGTGTTCTTTTGGATAGGCCGCTGATGATACAACCCCTGAGCACCTTTAATTTACTGGTTCATATGTGTTAGCACACCCAACCACAGAGGACACTGTCTTGGTCGTTTTACAGCTTGTGTAGCTGCCTCCTGGTCAAGTCATGATGCTTCATATGATTTGTTCTGGGAATCCTTCATTTAGTTCCAATACTAACCAATCTCCAGATATAGTTGTGGGGTTTGGTTTTGTTTTTTTTTTTTTTTTTTTTTTTCTGAAGCACTAAATTGCTTTAATTCCCCAGAGAATGAAAGGCAGGACTGTATTCAAGGACATATTAAAGTGTTGTGGTATTAGATTTAGCTGACGCTGAGATGCTCCCCCCCTATTTCCAAACTCAGACTTCCATAATCTCATTTAACTTCCAGTCAATTAACAGGGCTGGCACTCTGGAGTGCTCAACAGGGCAAACCAAAGGTAATAAATAAAAAATGCTGCTCAGTTGCCAAAATGACATCTCTCAAAACCAGATCAGATTTTGTTAGCCTGACATTTTCTTTGGTCCATGCAAGCAGCAGGGCATCCCACATCCTGTTAAAGCTTTATTGCAGCTTGCCAAAAATGTGCTCTTCCAAATAGCAACATTTTCTGAATTCTGGGCAGCCAAGAAATACCGCCTCATCCACAGCCTTATCTTGAGCTGAGCCAAAGCACGTGTCAGACTCTGCCATGTCTGGGCAGGCTTGACAGCATCAGGGAAGCACACATAATACACTGTGGTGAAAAATGTCCACTCTCCTCCATGGTAACAAGACCGACAGATGAGATTGGGTTTAGTGCAAAGAGATTATTAAATGGCTTGTTGACATAGAAGTGGGTCATGTATGGGCTCTCTTTTGGGGGGGAAAGAAATCATAAGTTTTAGAATGAACGAGGCAACTTCAAGAAATAAAGTTTTGAATAAATCCCAGTCTGCAAAGTTAGTCTCTGCACAATGCCACAATATGTCCATTTATTCACTTGGATTAAAGTATTAGGCTTTACAGCATCGGTCGCTATTCAAGGAACAATATGTGCTTGTGCAGGTAATAAACATCACCTGCAAAAGCCATAAACAACAGTTAAAATTACCTTGACTACTCAACTAACTAGAAACACTTTACAACGTAAGCATACTGGATGAAATTCTGGGTTCACTGAAGTCAATAGTACACGACCAGGATTTCACATATTGTTCTTATTTAAGTACAGTTGTTTTGCAATGCTTATTCCAAGTAAACTTGGATTGTAAATACGCAGCGGTGCCAGAAAGAGTTGAGCTGCATTGCTATCCAGACATTTACGGATATGTCATACCGGGTGCAATCTGGTACGTTATACAACCTATTAATTAGTTCCACAACATCTTTCATACATTACTTAGTCTGGCTCTCTTTTCCAAATTTCTGGTTTTCTAGTTCCTAGTTTTTAATTGCCACATCAGGAAATACTAAACACGGGTCAAGAACTGTTAGCAGGATTCCCAGTGCTTGGCAATGCCTTGAATCCTGTAACCCTGTTGAGGGTGTCCCTGTTGAAATCTCCGAAAGCAGCAAATTGTTAATAGCAGCCCTGAAACTTTACCTCTTCCCACTGGGGCTGGCACAACTCTTCAGAAAACGTGATGGCTGTCATGGATGGAGCCAACACTGCCTCGTAAAGCGGAACGACCAGCCGTGTCAGTCGGGACAGTGTGCTGTGCCCCACCGACCTCTCTCCTGCCACCCACCCCCACGTCCCCCACGTCACCGTAGCCTTGTGCCACGTTACCGACCGCCGCGCTGGCTGGTGCCAGCGTGGTTTGCACCGAGCTGCCCGACCTCCTGCCTCACCCGTGGGGAGAGGTGTGTCTACAGCTGGGGGGGGGGGGGTCCACAGTCCACAGTGAGCTGTGGGCAATGTGCAGATCAGGGCGGACAGCGGTCCCTCGGGAGCCTGCAGCAGTAGAGTAACAATATGGAAGAGAAGCGCTGTGGCAAGAGGTGGCATCCTAGGGGCATGGCGGGACGTGGGGCTGCTGTGATTACATCTACCTGGCAGCTCTGGAGTGAGCTGTGTGACACGAGCATGTATTGTGGCTGGGTACGGTATGGACCTGCCTCCAGGGCATAACTCATACTTGTCCTAAAAGAAGCTTTTGCCTTGCAGCACCTCCGGGGCTCCACAGCATCTGGAGGAAACTGCTGAATTACATTGGAACAACTGACTAGTGTACATCTAGGGACGTCCAGGAGCTATTGGTTTAGCACAGAGCTGACCTTCCAAAACGTCTTCCTGCCTGTTTCCTGCTGATTACATGCATTGATTTATACATATGTATATGTATGTATATATACATGCGCATTCAGTAATGATAATTTTTGACCTTCAAAGTACAGATGTCTGAAATAAAACCAATCACATGTAACAATAGAAGCTTACCTACATCCCTGTCCCTGATACAGTAGTCTGGAGAGCTTTCAAAGTATACCAGGTCATTCTTAGTTGGCTTCTTAAATCTCTTATTAGCCACAGTGAAACCTGTGCCATCTTGATTCATGACCACCTGAATCGCTCCATTGTATTTCTTCCACAGATAATCTCCTGTTTTCCTAAAGTCTGCCATGGCCAGCCAACAGGTCCTTAGAGTGCACGATCCACTCACACCGTGACATTTGCACTCCTGTTTCAAAAACCGCTTCACGGCCTGTTTAGAAATGCAGTAAAATACACACAGGTAAAACAAACTGTAATTTGTGCTTCTCAGACCCTTTCCAGTCATCCTCTAATGCCAGGCTTGCAATGGGTCTCCAAATCACGGTCTGTAGTGACACCCACTGGTAGCATCAAGTCATCCCCACATGGTTGGTCTGCTCTGGTTGCTTGACTCAACCTTACACGCAATCCTCTGGCTGGTGGGCTTACCTTCCCCACTCCTGCTGCTCATCCCGAGGATCGAGATGGTCCACAGCGCTGGGACACCGGCTGGGTGGGAGGAAAAGGTCTGGGAAACGGACAGAATCACGCAGCCCCTCAGTAGGTGAAGGTACCCCCTTTCCCCATCATTCCAGCTGAAGCATTGCCATGCTGACCCTCCCTAGCTCGCCTTCATGAAGTTGCTCTTTGCCCCGAATAGTGTTTCAAATATTGCCCAGAAATTCATATGTGCTTTGTATTTAAATGATCTTATGGAGGCTGTGCAAAGCACTGGACCTGGGCTGCGCATCAGGTCTATGCAAAATTTTAAAATGCGGTATTTTAAAAACGCTTCTAAACTGCTTAACAAACATTTTAGAATAAGATCTTCATTAGCTTGCACTGGAGAGATCCTCTTCATCATTAATTTAATGTCTGGATAGCATTAAAGCCATTTCAGCTTCATCTCAGACATTTAAGCTCTCTGTACGATGTTAGAGAACAATATGAGAGGTTCATATACAATAAATAATTCATTCTTAATTCTGAAGATATGGATATTTGATCTATAAATATTATGCCTTAAGAGTTCATGAGATATGAACATTTTGGAGTTTGCGCAAGAGAAACAGCATCATGGGAAGAAGGTAAGAGAGGAAAACTCCATAATTAGAAGTGACACTGATGCACAGCAAGGCAGCATTTTTCAGTCAACCACTTAATAATAAAGTGAGATTGTATTAGAAAACCAAAGTACTCGTAATTTTTTTTTTCCAAGTTGTAAATGATATAACTACTTCAAAGAAGTCACTGACATTCCCACAACCCTGCTTCCTTGTCAATGGTACTATCACAAAACTGGGATTTAAGCAGATGCTTGCTTTTAATTATCTGAGTAGAAATCAGTTTAACTACTCGTATGTTTAAAACAACCTGCTGGAATAGTTGAAGCAGCACATAGGAATGCAGGACTTTATTTTTTGACACAGCATATTATTTTGTATGATTCATAAGGGAACATTATAAATATTTATTCCATGTATTTTTGAACTAGTAAAATCTGAATAGTCTAGTTTTAAAAGAAACCTATCAACATCCCTTTTGGGGGTGAGAAAAAGCAGAGGACACAGCTGGTCTTACCCAGATCTGAATACCAGGCTTGTGGGTGGGCTGAGGCAGTGAGATCCCTCCCTGCACAGCTAAACCTGTGCTATTGCACTGTGGATACAAACTAGCATCCCTTTCTATAAAGCAGGTCCTAAAGCATATAAGAACGTGTTGCTTATTTTTAATTTAATACATTTATTAAAGTCCCTTGATCTTTTTCTAAAAAACCTACCTGCTTACCAATACTGTCTTATTACTTGTCATACAATTTTTTTAAACTTACTAAGATACTCAACTGTTACAGAAAGTACTTCCCAGCACAGGGTTAATTCACCCCTATAAAGTCTTTGCTTGTGTTGTAGACTGCAGTCTTTTTTGGTCAGTAACACAAATACAGCCATAGTATTGCATATGCGTGTCACTGATCTGAATAGCCTTGCCTGTCTATATTATATATTAATTACACCTATTGGTAATAAACAGGTGGAGGAAAGATGATGAAGGAGAAATATTTATCAGAAAAATTATCTACTTTCAGTACAATTCATTAAAATTGGATCTTTTCTTCTAATAAAGGCTAGTTAATATAGACCAATTTTACAGATTATAAAGGGAACTTTTTAATACAAAAAGATCAGACTATGAACAGTTTACTTCCTACTGAATATAAGTTAAGGAAAACCAAAGACAAGAAACAAGAAGTCTCTATGAATCATTTTAGAAGTGCTTGTTCTAACACCATAAAATATTTTTCTGTATTTTTTCCGATGTTGTGGATGCAGCAAATTTTGAATTTGTTTTGAATAATGAAACAGTGTATTCCAGTTTTATGCACTATTCTTACTATTTATAGCTACCACCACAAAATGTTAGTTCATGTATTCCTCAGCCCTTGCACCAGCAGTAGGCAATACACCCGGCAACTACTCCTTCTATTCACCTACAATGAAAAAATAAAGACCCTTTTTGTTGAAATTCAGGAGTGGTATTTTCATACAATGTTTAGAAAAGGGGTTTGTTTAGAGCACATCATGCCCGAAGGTCAATGCGTTTGGAGGGACATGTATTTTGGATTTCTTTTCTTAAAAAACAAAGTAATTGTATTTTATCTCTGCTCATTTTGTTTAGGTTTGCCATATACATACAGGAAGGGGCAGGGTGGTTTTTTTCTCTGATGCTATTTTGAATCTGCTCTTTAAGAGTCAAGCCTGTTCTTCAGTGTGGTCTTCAGCCTCCCTTTGGAATTTCTATTCTATATTAACCAAAAGTAAAACTCCTCCATATAGAAGGATTGAGCTCAAAACAAAACCTCCACCCAAACTGATCCTGCAATGACCTGGGCTTGTGTTTAACTTCCCACACAAGGAACCACCGAGCTGACTCAGATGGGAGCACTGTTAAGCAGTTGCACTCAGTCTATTTGGAGATCTCTGCCATGGTGACCCACCAAGGGAGTCAGAAATAGCATCTTAGGCTCCCACTCATCCCATACTTCTTCCTAAGTGCTGAGACCAGTCAGCAAGGGCCAACTGTTACCTGCACCGGACCCGTGAGAGCTCGCTGAGAGCATCTCCAGGCATCTGCTGGATGAGCACCCACCTTCCTTCCAGCTCTGTTGTTGTGAAGGTTCATCAGTGCCCTTGCATCTTTTCCTTTCCGTTCTTTGGCATCCACGAAGGCTCTGGCAAATTTAACGCCGTAGTCGATGTTATCGCTGCAGCCACCCCAGTCAAAATGGCCCTTGCTGTCCTTGGCAGAGCCTTTCTTCTTGGGATCACAGGAGCAGGATTTTAGCTCCCCTTGGCTACATGCCCTGGTGATGGCAAAAACAACTCCCGCAGAGGAGATAGCATGTACAAAAGCAGATTCACGACTACCTGAAACAAAAAAAGTCACTTTAAAAATCATTGGGGTAGTTCGTTTGAGTGGCTATCCTAACTCCAGCCAGTTAGGCTGGACTTTTTTGCAGAGCAAAAGATAAAACTGGGCTGAAATCACACAAACACACATTCCCTGGAGCCAGAATTAGTCATGTCTTAAGCTTGGACCCCTCCCTGGTAAAAGCTCATCAATATAGTGTTAGAGTTGGAAAACATTAGATGTTTGTTTCTGATATTGATTAATATACTTTCATGCATCAGTTGTTTTGTACAGATATGTGAATAGGACAGCTGGTATTTCTCTCATGTTTCATCGATTTAGAAAAATATATGAAGTGCTATCTCAGAGATAGGTTTAAGAAATTATTAAATAGGGACGCTGGAACAACATGTACATTGCAAAATGCTGCGAATAACTTCAGAAACCAGCTTTTCCTCTTCGAAGCACTTGCAATAAACTTCCCTGCTTAAAAGGCAGTAGGGAGTAATCTTGGGTGTTATTTTCTGAAAATAAATTAAGTTTAGGTTTTCTGTCTAGAACCAAGCCTGGTAACTGTAATTCACACAAACAAGTTCCATTAAATCAGTGGCACTGCTTGTGTCATGCTTCGGGCAGGATTTGGCCTGCCAGCTGTGACTTCTGCGTCCCATCTGCTTGGGCAGTTTTCCCTTCTCTTAATGAAGATACTTTATTATACCAAAGAATATCTCAATTTCTAGACTATGTCTACTCTTAGGCTATTGGGTACATATTTCAATGTAGTAGTTGCTTCACTTTATTTTAAGATGTAGTAATTTACAATACAGAGATATGGTATGTTGGCACAACTCTATTTATGGTAATGGAATATTTTCATGTTTGAAAAGTATTTTAGCACAGAAAGGGTGAGAAGTAGATTTTTGTGCAGTATCTAAGGCCACTGGCAGTGAGAGAAACCTGTTCAGAGGACTTGTAAGCCTTAAGTAATGTTAGCACAGTAAAGCGGGACCCCAAAGAGGGCATCTTATCTGTGATTTTTGGGAAGCATTACACCATGTAAAATACTATTTAGTGTTTCTATTCCAGTAGAATCTAGATGTTTCCAATAGGAGTGGGCCCTGGACTTCCACGTGTTGTGCAAACCTTCAGCAGATGACAACTAAAAGCTTGCAAAAGGACTGGGCAAACCCTGCCTTCCCTACACTGCCTTCAAAAGCAGGCAGGAGATATCGCTGCTTGCTGCAAATAATGCTCTTTTGAAGATGTATTTCTGAGAAAATATATTCAGAAACATAAAAACTTTTTTAAAAACTTTAAAAAGAAACACTTGATGTCACTGAGAAATGTTTCATTTCAGTTTATTAAACTAATCAGAAACATTTCATTTCAAATTAGAGCAAAGTCAGGCTACATTTCTCATCGCAATCACTGTCTGATCAGGCTCAGTGTAGAGCTCAGAATTCTCTCCATGAGCCAACAGTGAAAACTTCACTTTTGGAAAAACTGTATTTTTGCTGGGTTGTTGTGGTTGTTTTTTTGTTTTTTTTTTTTTTTTTTTTTTATGAAATAGCCTCATCAGAGTTAGGCCGTGTTCTGCCAGACATGTTTTCCTGAATGTCAAACCTCACTGAAAACTTCAGCTGACGTTACTGGTTACTCACAAATAATTGCTGAGGGAACATGAAGCTGGTTACGGGAACCAACCGCTCACCAGCAGCAGCAGGGCCTGGCACCAAATGACGCTCCGTGGATGAAGTCCCACTGCTTGGGTCAGCGTGCCCAGTGTTTTCTGTCCTCCTCCCCATCCCCACCTCTGGGGTCATGGCCCCGGGGCACTTCCCTCCTCCTCTCCGTGCACGTGTCCTGCTGCTCACAGCCTGGAGACCCTGTCTCGGATGGTACCCGGGACATGCCGGGGACACAAGTGCCAGGGCAGGGTCAGCCCCACCAGCTACGTGCCCAGGTGTGGTGTTTGATGAAAAGAGCCACAGTTTAGAAGAATCTCACCGCTTTTCTCACTTGGATAGGGACATTTGGCACGGTTACAGATCTCAGCCATTTCTTTGAGTCAAAAGGACCATATAAACTGTCTGAAGACTCACTAGATGCCTTAATCCAACATTTAGATGGCAACAACACCCTGCTTAACCATCCTCCGCCCAGGCTGGGAAGGGCATTGCGGTCCTCAGCTGCTCAGGATCTGCACAATCCTGGCTCACCCCTATCAGATGCGTCCCCGCTTACGTGTCCCCGACAGCCTGAGCTGAAGGACTGACCCCTGCAGAGGGCCGGGAGGGGCAGCTCTGCCCCGGCACAGGCGCAGACCCCACACCTCACCCCGCACCTCGCAGGCAGCACAGCCCTGCTGGGGCTGCACCCTGCTGCTGAGCCTCCCCAGGAAAACGCCCCAGCGAGGACCAGCCTGCGAAAGGGGTGGACCATCATCCGCCATCCCAGCGTGCCGGGATGCTGTTCGGATGTGGGCTGCCCCTTTCGGTCCCCCCCCGAGCACTGGTGTCCCTAGGTGGGGTGGGCTGGGCTGGAAAGTCCTCTGCCCAGCTGCTGCGTTCTGACATCTCGGTTTCTCTGTAGCCTTTAATTTGTGGCTTTGGGGTCCATTATGTACCAAAAAAATGAAGCTGGGAGCTGCAGGGCCAGCCCTTTAACACGCCAGAATCCCCTTTCTGAACCTTGCCCATGCCTTTCTGCCCCGATGCAGGTTTTTAAGCAAAGCAGCACCTCCCGCTGTCGCATGTGCTGTTCTGCAGACTGTGAGACCCCAGGAAAATTTTGCATTTCCCCTGCTGACCATGAGACCCTCATTTTGCATTTCCCCTTCCCATCCTCCCGAAACGTGACGCGGAGCTTCACCCTCGCTGAGAGAGCAAGGGTTAGCAGGAGGCGGGCCGCCGCTTCCCGCCGTTACCGCCCGCGCCCCGGCGGTGCCAGCCCGAGCGCTGACATCCCCCCCCCCCAAAAAAAAACAAAAACAAAAACAAACAAAAAAAAACACAAACAAACAAACAAACAAACAAAAACCAAAAAACAAAACAAAACAAAAAAAAAAACAAACAACAAAAAAAAAACAAAAAACAAAACAAAACAAACAAAAAACAAAAAACAAAAAAAAAAAAACAAACAAAAACAAAAAAACAAAACCAAAAAAAAACAAAAACCAAAAACCCTTCAGCCCTCCCGCCCACCGCCTCAAACCCCCTGTTCACCCTCAGCGCGAAGCCGCCGGGGAGGCGCGGAAACCGCGCGCCCCGCCCGAGCCCGCGGGAAGGCCCCTCCCACGCCACGCCACGCCACGCCACGCCGCGCCGCGCCCCGCGGGACTCACTGCGCAGCAGGACGCGGCCGAGGAGGCGCTGCCCCCGCTCCAGGGCGTTGCAGTCCCAGCGGTGCCGGCGGAACTGGTGCTGGCACTCGGCCGTCCAGGCGGCCACGCCGCGGCCGATGGAGAGCATGGCCTCGGGGTGCCGCCGGCACAGCTGCCGCTGCCGGCTCACCAGCCCCGGCACGTTGTCGCACATCACCCGCGACGAGCCCACGGCCCCCATGTACCTGCGGGGAGAGAAGGGGTAGGGCAGCGGCCACCCCCGGGCAGCGGCCCCCCCGGGAATTGAGGGTCCTCGGCGCCCCGTCTGCGGGCAGGAGCGGATCCAGACCTGCAGCCGCCTCCGCCTTTTGGGTGGAAATCCTTTAAAATCAGTCTCCGATGCCGTGCTTTTTAATAAAGTGAAGCGTTTAGGAGAACCCCAAACCTCGCTATAACAGCTCTGTGCTGTGCTTTTTTTTTTTTAAAAAAAAGAACAACCTTGACAAAATTTAAATTACATCATCATCTGTATCCAGATGGTCTCTATTAGTCCTGAAATGTTTCGAAAGGCACCTTTTATAAAACCCAAACTACTATAGGTGTCTTTTGAAGGGATCAAACAGAAGAAAATGTCCTTTTCTTATATTTTCATTATTTTATACGGTCATAAAATCGTTAAAGCCGTGACTTCCCCCAAAATATATGTCTTCCAGTGTCAGTTAAAAGACACTGTGACAAAAAGCCATCGCAATAAATAATGTTTATGCGGCTAAGGACACAGATAGTTATTTTATTGAAATACGCTCAGTCTGATAAATCACGCTTTGATCCCGCGTCAGCCAGTGTCAAGGTTAAATGTGTTCCCCAGGTTTATAAGAAGCGGTTTAACTCCTCTTCTACGCCAAGACTTTTCAGTCTGGGCTTGTTTGGGGGGCAGGTTTATCTTTCCATTCTAACCCGTTATAGGGCCCCGTTTTGCAGCTAGCTCCCCTAGACGCCCCGCGTTGAGATCGAGTACCATTTGAAGCCGGGTCCTGCGCTGCCCGCGGGGCTTTCAACCCCTTTGCACTTGCAGTTCAGCGAGGAGAAACTTTGAAGGAGGGAGGGGCCGGGGAGGGCGAGGAAGAAGGAGCGGCGGGGTGGGGGGGAAGGGAAATTATTAATAAAAAATTATCCCTTCTGTTGCCAATTCCCAGCGCCGCCGGGACGCGGAGGGTTGGCTGCCGGCAGCCCCAGCGCTTTCTCCGCGCCCGCGCTCCCCCCGGCCGGTGCCCGCTGCCCCCCCCCCCCCCCCCCCGCACCCCTCAGCCCTCGCAGATGCTCGGTGCCTCGGCGAAGGAGGAGGCCGGGGAGCAGGGACGGGGTGGGGAAGGAGATGCCGAGCCCGTCTAATCCCGCTTGTTTTAAGGCCGGGCTTTCTGGACCGGAGCAGCTGGCAGCGGCGAGCTCCGCTTGTACGAGTCCGAGAGGGAGAGGCTTCCCCCCTCCACCAGGCCCCCCTTCCCTAATTTACAATTAATCCGACCCCACCTTCCCCAAGAGCAAATAAAAATTCCTGGAATTGCACATCTTACCACCATGAGGAGGTGACTGGTGGGGTCGCCCAGACCAAGACCAGGGGAAGAGACCACCAGATCCCCGAGAGAAAGTTCATGTTAGAAACTCTTCGGTCCACATCAGGTCAGTCGCGGGGGGCAGAAGAAATCCCATGGAGAAACAATAACTGCCAGGAAGGAGCAAACGCACCTTGAGGACTTCTTGGCTTCTTTCTTTTTTTTTTTTTTTTTTTTTTTTTTTCCTGCTGTGGGTCAAGCGCCTCCGCATCCCCACGCACGGCCGCGGGGTTTATTGATCCCCTCCCGGGGCATAGGGGATGCCGGTAGGTGCATCGCTCTGGATTCCTCTCGGTTCTCCCCGCACCGAATCCTTCAGGAAAAGGAGCTCAGCCCCGCTCTCATCCTTCATCTTTGCCCTGATCCAGCTCTTCCCTGCAGTCACAGCAAAACTGAGGGGCTGGTGTGGGCTGCTCACAGACTGGGTGGGTTCTGCTTTGGTTGGTGTGTTTTTCTTTTTTTTTTTTTTTTTTTTTTTTCTCCTCTGAAACTCTGATGGATGAAATGATGTCAAGAGACACTGGGGGAAGAGGAGGAGGTAACACCTCTGATTAGGCAAGGAATCCCGAGGAGCCAGTTGCTTTCCAACAACCCGACGAGCAGACACTTCGCTCCAACACTGAGCGCAGATGCTGCGCGCTCGGCCGCGGAGGCGACCACCCCGGCTGGTAAAGACCAGCAGCACTTGGCACCTCCCGGGCCTCGGGCACGGCGGCGCTGGGTTCCTCCCCCCGCGTGTCCGCAAACACCGAGCGCGGAACGGAACCGCGCCCCGGGGCCGAGGGGAGAAGCGGAGAACACGAACAGCTCCCCCCCCACCCCTTCCTCCTGCCTCCGTGGGGCCGCGACCCCGCCCCACCGCCCCCGGGCACCGCGGGCGCGCACCTCCCGCGCGGCCTTTCCGCGGGTACCAGCGCCGGAGCGGCTCCGCCCCGAGCCTCCCTGCCCACCCGCGCACCCTGGGCGGGACACCCACGCACCCCCACGCCGGGACAGCGCGGGGGGGGGGCGGGGGCGGCCCGGCCCAGGAGCGGGGCGATGCCGCCGGGGCCGGAGGCCTATTCGCCAAGAAGGAATTGAGCAACATCTTTTACTTAAGTGTCATCTCTGTAAGGCAAATGAAGGGTAGCAGACATTCCAGGCAAGGAACCGTCCTTAACAAGATGGAGATACCCCAGTCCCAAGTCAGCCCTGGCTGGCTGTAACAAACTCCGAAGGTTGCTATGTAACTTGGGGACAGCACGGTCCTTGTTCCTAAAAGATGCCTCCACTTGTCAACTGCAGGGGCAAATCTTGGAAAAGTGAGCTAGGAAGCACCCTTTGAGATCTGTTCTTCAGGCAGCACGTTACAGCCACCACTGCGTGCAGAGAAGACACCAGCCTTCCAGGCTGTCGCTCAGTACGACTTCTTGAGATCACAGACATACAACCAGATGTGAGTACCTAGCGCTTCAGGAAGAAAATGCCAAAGATAGAACTGTAGCAACTTTTGAGGTGGTAACATTCACTCACCAATTTAAAGTAAACTCTCCCAAATCCAAATACTCCCACAGAAACCAACCAACCAGCCACTCCTCCCCAACATCAGAAAAGCTTTTGGCTGCAAAGACTTTGTGTTAAGAGCAGTTGAAGCTCGGACCACGTTACTGCTCCTCCAGCAGTACTACTTGACCAGAAACAACTACAGTTCCAGTTACTAACTCCAGGAGGTCTTACAAGCAACAGATGAGCATTCAGCATCTATTTGATCAAGTATTACCAGTGTGAAAAAAACACACTCCAATCTTCAGCTGCTGGCCAACTTCAGTTTCTGAAGTTTAAGAGGTATGCCTTGGATCAATTAGCAGGGGAGAGAAAGAGAAATGCCAGGGAGGGGACAGCAAATTTCAGCAGGATTTTAGACCCCTCTGAGCAGAGGCTACACTCCTCCCTGCTACCAGCCTTCCCAGGTTTGCAGTAAAAAGTTGACCCATTTGTTTTTTCCAAGATCTCCTTCTGCGTTAACAGGAGCTCCTTTAACTGTAGCAACCACACCAACTGCTCATGAACGTTGTCCTCTTTCTCTCCAGAAGTCATTTGCCACATCTGCATTCCAGCTTTACCGCTGTCCGGGACTCCTCCGGGCCCCAAGCTCTGTGCTGGCCTCACGTGAACTCACACTGGATCCATGAAGGACAAGGAGAGATCGCTCACCGATTACCATCACAGGCAAAACAGACTTGACTTGGGTAAACTAATTTAATTTATTGCCAATCAAATCACAGTAGGGTAATAAGAAATAAAACCAAATCTTAAAAATACCTTCCCCCACCCCTCACTTCAGGGCTCAACTTCACTCCTGATTTCTCTAACTCCTCTCCCTGAGCAGAGCAGGGGGAGGGGGAAGGGGGGCTTATGTTCAGTTCACACATATTTCTGTTGCTCCTTCCTCCTCAGGGTGAGGACTCCTCACACTCTTCTGCTCCAGTGTGGGGTCCTTCCCACAGGAGACAGTTCTCCATGAGCTTCTCCAATGTGGATCCTTCACAAACTGCTCCAGCGTGGGTCCCTTCCACAGACTGCAGTCCTTCAGGAACAGACTGCTCCAGTGTGGGTCCCCCACGGGGCCACAGGTCCTGCCAGGGGCCTGCTCCAGCGTGGGCTTCCCACGGGGTCACAGCCTCCTTTGGGCACATCCACCAGCTCTGGCGTGGGGTCCTCCCCGGGCTGCAGGTGAATATCTGCTCTGCCTTGGACCTCCATGGGCTGCAGGGGCACAGCCTGCCTCGCCATGGGCTTCACCACGGGCTGCAGGGGAATCTCTGCTCCAGAGCCTGGAGCACCTCCTCCTCCTTCTTCACTGACCTTGCTGTCTGCACAGTTGTTTCTCTCACATATTCTCATCCCTCTCTTCTGACTGCTGCTGGTGTTACACTGTTTTTTTGTCCCCTTAAAGAGGTGCTGCTACCACTGCTGACGGGCTCGGCCTTGGCCAGCAACGGGTCCCATCTCGGAGCCGGCTGCACTAGCTCTGTCACAGGGGAAGCTTCCAGCAGCTTCTCACAGAAGCCACCCCTGTAGCCCCCCCTGCTACCAAAACCTTGCCACACAAACCCAATACGGTCCTTTGGGGCCAGTTCTGACCTCACTCATTCTGTAAACCAAGAGTGGTTAACAGCCTTTCACTGTATTTTCTCTCCCCTGTCCAGCTGAGGAGGGAGTGATACAGAAGCTTTGGTGGGCAGCTGACATCCAGCCAGGGTCAGCCCACCACAGGGACCCCCCCCCCCAGTCCGACCCCCTGCTCAGAGCAGGGTCAGCCAGCAGGCTGCTCAGGGACATGTCCAGTTTTGAGTAGCTCCAAGGACAGAAACACCACAGCCTCTCCGGGCAACCTGATCCAGTGTCTAACCTGGGATCATTTTTTCCCCCCTTATGTTTAAATGGATTTTCCTGCATTTCAGTTTGTGCCCGTTGCTTCGTGGCCTGCCCCTGGGCACCACTAAGGTCCCGGCTCCGTCTTCACTCACGCCCGCCGGTATTTATCCACATGGATAAGATGCCCCAGAGCCTTCTCTTCTCCAGGCTGAACAATCCCAGCTCTCGCCCTCTCCACACTGTTCACATGCTCCAAGCCCTTCAGCATCTTCATGGCTCTTGACCGGACTCACTCCAGTACATCCATGTCCCTCTCGGTACTGGGGAGCCCGGGACTGGATCCAACACTCCAGCTGTGGCCTCCCCACGGGAGGGGAGGAGAATGATCAGAACCTCAACCTGTAGGTGAGGTGATGCTGTTCCTGCTGCAGCCCTGGAGAGGCTGCTGGCCACAAGAGCAGACCGGATTTACAAAGCTGTATGTGCCTTCAAGAAGTATTATGCACACACAGTTTCTCGTTCGGTCAAGAAATCACACCCTGTGCAATACAGATCACAGCGGAGTAGCCAGGAACACTGAAATCCCAATTCTTTGAATACACACACCTTATGAAAATGAGCTGGCTTTCAATACAATAATGAAAATAATGTAGTTAAACCTGTAATTCTACATTCAAATAAAGACTATTTTCCAAAAAACTGAAGGCATAGAAATGCCTCTCGTCTGAGAGGAATTAGTAACAAAAAAAACCCATAAAACCCTTAGGTAGAAGGCATCTTCCCATATATATCACAGTCAGTAGCATAGCTTAAAAGAAAAAGGACTGAAAATCCTTCCCAGAGGGATTCCTGTAAATTCCACTTCCAGGGACTATGCCTCTGTATTACCTGAAACTACACCATTTGAATCAGGATAAAAACTAAAAGTAATTTAACAGCTATTAAAGCTGTTAAGGATACACGTTATTCATTTAATGCCAGTAATACACCTTTTCATACCTCACTGCTTTTCATTTCTGGTCCATAAAATACGGAGCCCCATTACCTAAAAATTCTTATTCTAGAGTAGGAGAATAAAAATTTCCCAATATATATTTCCCCCATGCCTTCAGAACAAAGAAGTGACAGTAAGAGTCTTTAAGAGCAGAAACCTGCAGTTAAGACACCGGCTAGACCTTCAAGGCTTTTTATCTGTGCAGAAAGATTACCTCTCCTATGAATACCAAAACAGACTGCCAGAAGTGGACAACTAACATAGACAAGCTACAGATCACTTAGTTGGCCTTTCATGACACAGGGTAAGATGGATTTATTAAATTTATTCCAGAAGAGACTTGTTTAGCAAGGCTCAGGACTCAAAAATCTTCCACCACGTAAGGTGCAAAGCAACACCTGTAGTACTTTACTAGTAACAGAGAAGCTTTATTTGGGAAAGATGACCTATGACTTTTGCAGGACTGCTGGAACAGAGATGGCAAATGCAAGCAAACACCTACTGACAGTTATGAGCAAGTTACAACTTTCGGGAACACCTGAAGGGGTTCAAAGATGGCAAGATAAAAAAGAATAAACCACACAGCTCAAGTTTAACTCTTGTTCCCAACAAGACAGATGGATGAAGTAAAAGAAGAAAAAATGAACAAAGCACTTCTGTAAGTCAATGGCAAATGTAATTAAAAAAGCTCACTCTTTCTTAAATTAAGAATACACATACCCAAAATTAGTATCTATTGTTTACAACTGGTACCCAACAGGATTAACTGGGCAATGTCCTATGACAGGCCAGGCACTCCACAAGTCAAATTTAAAGAGTGGGGCAAATCCCAAAGCACAGGAAGAGAGACACAACATATACAACCTGCAGTTTATATTGGACAAGGCAAATTAGAAATAAAAACTCTTTATGTTCTTTCAGATCAGCACGGGATCACCCAAGGCCCTGATTTTACATAACAGCCTAAAGATTCAGAAAAGGCCGTTGCGTGAATATTCATCTGTATCAAGAGAAGTTAGGTGTCCAATGGTTTTGCAAGTAGGAACCTTGCTGCATCTTCAAGCAACTATGTATCTGCAGGATTTGGCCCCAGGTCCAATCCACTCAATCCTCCCGCATCTCCATTTGCACTACTGTGAGAGGAGAACAATACCTCACAGGGCTGGGGGCTTACCTGCTTAGTGCATGCAAAGCTCTTTAGCATTCTCCTCCAAGCCCCTCATAGATGTGCAAATCATTGTATTCTTACTCTTCTGGGATAATGACCTTAATTTGATGACTTACAGAGGGAGGCCTCTCAGCAGGGACATTTTCATCTGAAGGCTCCCTTACAGGGTGCTGGTGGGGGTGAGAATTTTGACAGCGTAGCTCAGGGACCAGATGTTGAAGGAATCTCTTTGCTTCCTGCCCTATCACAACCATATCGTGATACCTTCACAGAGAATTTGAAAGAGCAACTGGAACAACATGAAAGCAAATAAAGAACCTTGAAATTAATTGTTTATGCCCAAGTTTGGAATCTGAAGAAGAAAACACATTTTTTTTGTGATAGGGTAGGTTAAAATACTCTTCATTTGGCTCTTAACATGTCCTACTCATGCAACACAGTTTATGACTAATGGATTAATGAGGGAGCTCAAAATGGCTACTCCAAGACCCTTGCTACTCGGCCGTGGTTTATACCATTTTGAACATCATTCTTGAACAGTGCACCGTGCTAAGAAGGCTGCTGGCAGAAAGCCTGTGTTTAACTCAAACACTGTTCACACGTGTGTTTGCAATCATGATTATAAGCATCTGAAATAGGTGATCCATAAGATAACTTAACGGGATCAGCTTCTCCTCAGTGTGTTTTGGAGGTCAGCTCCAAGTGTTCAGACCTTTGACTCATCTCTGAAAAGAATATTTTATTGTTACTCTCAAACTAGAAAAAAAAAGAACTATCAGCAACTATCACGCATTGTTTTTTCCCTCATATGTATTTTACAGTGTTGGCACCATTCACATTGTTATACCTATAATTTAGCTAAATACTCACACAACTTTTCTGGAGCAGATTTCCTACTCAGCTGCAAGACCTCCAAGCTTAGCTTAAGAGGCCCCCATATAAGTGGATCTTTTCTTCAAATTCATGGGAAAAAAAAATTTTTACTGTCTCAAGTGGCAAGATCTACTAGTGGTAGGAAACACATCTCTTGAAATGGAAGGCGTGTTCAGTGTCTTTTGAAGTGGCTTTGTTAATGCAAATTCTCACTGAAGCAGAGAAGAAACAGTGAGGCTAAGTAACAATCTTTTCAAGGGCAGTACCACAGAAATCTTACTAGTTGTTGAAATAATTCCACTTAACTAAAGTGAAAGTACATGTTGGAAACAGTCTGAACAAAATGCCTGCCTATTCCCCCTCCATCCTCAAAACCAAAAGACACCTCAACACCTTCACCCAACAGAAGAAACCCCAAAGATGCTAGATGTCAAAGTTCTAGTAATAATTGTGAGACATCCCATCACTGAGCAACTGCATTTGAACTGTACTTTGACCTAATTAGATGAGGAGTGCTGTATATATATAAGGTTCCATATGCATGACAAGCAGTTAAAACTGCACTCAGATTTTTTGTATTTCCATGGATTTTTCCATTTCCATGGATTCTTCTTTTTCTGATATGAGTCTTGTTAGTTTAGGATTAATTATAAGGTAACATGAAGAAGCAGAGAACTTTTTAAAATATCTTCTCTTCTATACTTTGTTGGTTCAAGTTAGTATGATGATAGTATCAGCACTTCTCCATTTCTGCTGATAGATAGTGGTGGTGGGGAATACAGCTTCTCCCCTCTGACCCAAAGTTGGGAACAGAATGGAAAAAAAACGAACTTATGTTGTGTTTGCCTCTGGCCTCATCACTCTGTAGGATGTTCCTTGCATTGAAGGAGAAACCTGAGAGGAAAGGAGGTGAAACCGCAGTAACAAGGAAACATACTAACACCCTACGTAGTTTTCTAAAACAAAAAGCAGAGAATAAACTGTGACAGCAGTTGGAGTTGCACTCAGGTTTTTTATCTTCTCCTTACTAGTCTCTGGAGGGAACATCAGAGATTAAGACTCCACACAGTATCTCTGAAAACAGAGAGCGATAAAGCATGAACCTACCCATTGAGCTTTATGTTTTTTTAGAGTCCTTTTGTTTTATTTTGATAGAAGGATGTCCCTTCAGAAATATTCAGCATTTTTACAGCTGTTTATTGAAGTCTGCAAAAACAACTGATTTGAATTAATTCACACAAATTCCATTTTTTTCCAAAACAGCTTCTTTGATAACCAGATGAAAAAAAGATATTAATGTTTCACTGTGGAATTAAAACCACCTATGTAAGTGGAGAAAATTCTAAGAAAAAATTACTCTAAGCATGAAGTTGTTGTAGTGAAAGACCAGACCGAGAAAAAACATGCTGCTATGCTTTCTAAGTTGGTTGCATTCTTATAGCAAAGAACTGCTATAATCCTTTTAATACATGTGATGAAACTCTTAATAGAATAGTATCCCTAAGGAAACAGATTTCAGGCATAATTTGAGTATCATAGTTCAGTGGGAAATGACTTTTTAGGCAATGCATAGCAAGATGTCCACAGTCCTGTAATTGTGACAAATTAAAAGAAGTGCACCTCACCAGGAAGTTTTTTCATATGAACCTATCATCTGAAAACGGCAAGAGAAAAGATCTTTATCAACATAAAACTGCATGAGACAATTAAAATATTTTAAACCCTCCTAACCCCCCAAAACACATCTGCATCGTAATTTTAAATACAAACATGTGATATAATCAAATTATTTGATTAAGTTCACCTCTGAACAACAGCTAACGGTAAAAATGAAACTAGTAAAATAATTACAGCTTTATGCCAAGAAGAAAAGCAGCTTTGATAAGATTTTAGACCTATAGTCTACAGCAAAACAATTTTGAAAATAAAGCCCTAAGACACATTTAAGTAGACATTTTAATTTTTAACAACTTTATTTCTAGATCAAAGTACTTACTGGATGCAAATACTACAGATATGATGAGAAGCTACACAAATTTTCACATTACTTCAGCTCAGATGCATATACTGAACAGAAGCATAACGCAACCAGGTTTTCCAAAAGTATTCATAAGTCAGGTTTTTGTTACCGCTAACTTAGTTATAAAGAAGAAAAAACCAAATCCAAGCAATGTTACTGCTCCCATTTTTACTAATCTTTTTTCCAAGGTGGGTGCTTTTTCTGGAAGTTTCACTCGGCTGGGGTCATTCTTCTGTTCATGCTGAGGCAGATGTTAATTTCATGTAAAAAGTGCAACAAAGAATAAAAAGTTAGTGTGAAAGTTTCTTAAGTATGTCATAAAGTACATAGTCCAAAGAATTTGCAAGAATGTAGGATTGGCATTATTTCTCACTGTCTGTCTCTGCTGTACTCAATTGAAATAAATGCGTGCAAACCTTTATCTTACCTGATGCTCAATTATTCTGTAATATATATTAGAAAAACAAACTGTTTGTTCACAAACTTAATTCCTCAGGAGTAAAACTCACTGTTGATAGATGCCACAAAAATCTAGCAACAAAACATTTAAATGCCAATCGTCAAATATTTTAACCAGAACTTTTAATTACCAAAAGAACTGTTTATTAAAAAAAAGCAAGTTAAGTATGTAACAGATTAGACTTCCCTGAAATTACAGGGAGAGCGGAAAGTACCTTACAAGTGCCTGCTCGAATCCACGCTGGAGCTGAGTGAAACCTTGTCATAAAGTGCAGCAGGGTTGGGTTCCGATTCCCTACCTTAGTTTATAAGGCTCGAAAGGCCATTTCATTTACCATGCTTTCAAAAACTATATGCTACAGAAATAACATGTGTTGCTGGCAAAGTCTTGTAACAAACAAGCTTTGCAAACAGTACTGAAGATTTTAAGGGAGTTTATACAGACTTATTATCTAAGAGGCTTAACTGTTTCACTTAAATTGACACTTTTCATAATAAACGTTTCAGTGGTCTACTCATTCAAGAGTTCCCCATCATAAATTAAGCAGCACAAAGATGTTTTGTATTAAAGTCTTCATCAGCAAAATTCATAAAGTATTACAGTATTCTAACAGAGGAGGAATTACATTTTTAAAATAATTAGAAGGGTGATGTTTAACACCTCTGTTTAACACTGGCTACAAAGTCACCGTGCTTCATCTTGACAGCTATGAAACCTTAAGTACAGATAAGAGCAAAGTCAAGTGGCACCTCACTTGGATCTCCCCCAGCCCTTATAACTGGCCTATACATATAGGAGGCAAATATATACATACAATTGATTTCTGAATATGCAAAAAAAGGAACACAAATAGCTAAGGAGTTCTTTGTCACAACCTCTATCTACCTCTTAAATAGATTTGGTGTTAAGTGATTTATTGGGAGAAGGCTGTTATATTACATTAAATTTACTTAAACTACAGGAAATTGCATTAGTAGCATTATACTCAAGGTCTGAGTTCCACATGGCTTCGTTCAGCAACAGATTCCTTTCTGACACTGATGCTCCATTTACTCTATCCCAGCAGCCATTCCTTTTTCTAGCCTATTACTTAAAATGACCCCATCTGACAAGAGCGTGTCATTGTGTTGGTTTGAGAATGACTGATGTGGTGCTAACATCTAGCCTTGACCTCTCCCACCCTCTTCTTTTGTCACTCTGCAGAGTTATCTGGGATGCCTCCCATTCAAATCCATAAAACCTTAGGATCTTCACTGTGAGTCAATAATTCCAAACAAAAAATTCCATAATTAAGAAGTAAGTGTAAGTATTCAGAGTGGCATTTATGCCACAGTGGTTGTCCAAGAGCACAGGGGTACATTCCACTTAATTCTTTCCTGGGTAGAAAGAAAAAGATTGACTATGCCTTCCTCTGGAGACTGTCCATGCTGCTGTGGAATATTCTAGATTATTTCTCATTCTGCCCATGGAAAAGCAGAAGGGGGAAAGGTGGATGCAAAGTCCAAGCTACAGCTGAAGAGCCTGTGGCAGACCAAGGTACAAAATGTTTCACTGATGGGTGTCACATTTGAGGCTGCATGCAGAACACTGTACACAGTAATTAACAGTCTCACTCACACACACCCACCTTCTCCACCAGGTCCTTCAGTTTGGCCACTTCTTCTCCCAGCTTTTCAACACTGCAAACCAAGTCTTTGCACACTTCAATGAAACTTTCAGCTGGTGCCCACTGCATTACTACCTGTTAATAGTTACAGTTATTTACCAGAATTACTGTAGATTATAATTTAATATTATTTAGTTAGCATATCATAAAAGACAGTGTCAGGAAAAGTGTATAACTGCATTTATATTGCATTTTCATTGTACGATTTGTGCACAGCATAATCCACTGCTCTCTATCAGCCTTTGTGGGAACCTTTTGTCACATTAACTCGCTATCAGCAGAGACACAAAGAAACAGATCTATCTCCTTTAACTGGATGGCTTAACTCTTTGAAATAAACTATTAAAAAAAGTGTCCTTTAGAGAAAGACTATTGGACAGCTCTATATAACTATATAATAATAAAGATGGTTAATGAGTATTAATATTTTTTTCATTTTACAAGGTAGAATAATATTATAGAATAGAATAATACATTCTAAATCAATCTTCTTTTCTTTGGCTGAATACCTTGTGAGAATTTTTGAGGAAATGCTTGTTCACAGTCTGCACAGGAATGGTCAACTTACTACACTCTTTATTCAACTTCTGAAGAAACTTGAGGAATTCATCTCCACTACAAAAATAAAACAATATTCTGTGATTTGTTAAAGGCTGTAACTTTTTGCAAGCTAAATATCATCTATGCATTTCCAACATTGGCAAGTGAGTCAGATATGCAGTTTCATTGCATTAAAAGAAATAAAAATCCAGTGTAATTTTAACATGGATAAACACTGCATTTAACATCTTCGTAATTACTACTTTTTTGTCCACCTCTCTGGAAGGACAACAAATTATTAGGTTATCTGGAATAGTCAGCTAGTAAGACACACTGAAAGCCGAAGAAGTATCACCCAAAAGCTTTTCAGAAACATTGTACTGATGTCCACTTCTGTTTCTAACTCTTATCAATCCTGTATTATCAATGAAAACATTTCATTACCTGCTGTATGAGTAATTTTGTAACATAGTATGCATAATAAATGCAACACTGTTTTCCTGTGCATGTGTGCATACAGATTACAGTCTTGCAAAATCAGAAATAGAGATTTTAGTCAGTTTTATGTTGACATATCAATATTCCTGCAGCTTACATTTCTGACGAAGACATAGGGAAAAAAATAAATCTGTTTTGTACTTTGGAGCTAGGACTGAAATGACTAGGTTAGTCATTTAACCTCCAACACAGTAGAAGAAAAAAGAAGCCAATAATACTGACTTGGCTCCTGGATCTGAAAATATATCCTCAAAGCCTAAAATATCTGATATTATCTACATTGAAGAAAATTTTTACTTAGTGCTCAAATACAAGCAGGAAGACAACTCTGAAAATTAGTTTCATCAGTATCTTCAAAGAGTGGAAAAAAGGATATAAAAAAAAAAATTAACAGACTAATTTTAATGCTGAGTTTCTAGAGCTTCCACGTGACACTGACTCTATTTATTTTACTGGAAGCCTCAGAGTTAGTTTTAAGCCGTGGTGCTGGCCAGAATGTTGCTGCTATTGTCTGGGCAGAGGAAAAGAGGGCAAGGAAGATGATCATTGTTTTTACAGAGTGAGCTCTCAAACCTCAAAACTCACGAGAAGTGCCTGTAGCTCCAGAAAGAAGTTTCCACTCGCTATAAGCCATTCAGGTGAATAACAAGCAGGGCCAAAAGCTCCTACTGCAGGACTTCCTGTTATATTTATGAAAGGATCTGAATAAATTGATTTAGACCCCAATGTTCCTCTTTTCCCTAGGGCAATCTGCTACAAAATCTAAATGGAACATGCTCACACCATCTTTCTTGCTGCTGCTGCTGCTTCTGATGGCAAAAAGGTACACACAAAATTTGCCAAACAGCTAACCTAAGCTACAGGCCGGTGCGGTGCAAGTATCTAAACAGAGACTGAATTTAGCTCATGCAATGTTTTCCTTCAACTTTGGCACAAGACCATCAGTGAGCAAAGTTTCCACCACTGCTTAGGACATCTGTGATTTGCTGAACTGCTAAGACTTTAACGCTTAAAACAGAAATATACAGAAGCATCAGTAAGGATGCGGGGGGTTAAAAATCAAGACTGTTCATGGTTTTCATGAAGATGGGCAAGTAAGAAAGCCTATTAACTTGTTTTTATAAAATAAATTATTATTAATTTCAGAAGAATATAACTGAACTGAACATTTAGGGTAAAAAAGAAATGAAACCCTAAACAAAATAATCCGATCTGGATATAGTCTGAAAGCTTCTCCATGTTACTACAGTGAAGGTGTGCTCATGAAAATTTCCTTCAACTTAGATAACTTTTTAGCTGCCTAGGATCAGTTATGCAACCTTCTGTGTTTTGTCACAAAGAAAATTATTTTTAGGAATTCTGGAAGGATTCTCATCAAAAATCAAGTATGTCATGGGTATGAAATGGGGAGAAAAAAGTAAAACATTTATACTTCTCATACTTCTTTATTATATCAATAATAGTTCTTCAAAAACATTTTCATAGAATTTTTTATCTGTTGCAGTGACACGTTCTTACATTTGCAAATGGAAATAATGTTTTCAAAAATAATCACTTTTTAAAAGAATTAATGACTGTCAAAACACCAGTGGCTAAACAGTGCTAGACACTCTGTGAGTTTATAATCAATCAGTTCAACATTTTCTACTATGTTAGTTTTTCTATGACTTAATGACGGATTTTCCTTCTCACAGAATGACTTTGAACAAGTGGGAAGTAAAATCTTTATATAATAGCATGTAAACATAGCCTATGATAGTCTCAAGGTCAGATTCCTAGAATACATGTCAAGCCACTTTCTAGAAAACTATGCAGTGCTTGATATAACTGAAATGCTGTTATGATTTTGTGTACTTCAATCTTTAATCAATAAATTATTTTCTGTTTTTGAGAACGACATATGATCTAAACCCATACTGTATTAGGACTTAGACACGTCACTGCCGAGTGAGACTTTACCGGACATCATGTGAGTTTTTTATTGTATTTGGCCACACATGCAGTGAACTGCTAACCTTTTGCATTTCTCCACTTACTCCCTCTGTTCAAATTTTTAAGCTGTTCTGCTCGAATGCATATACTAAACACCACTATGGAACAATCTGAAAAAAGCATACACTTCTAGCATAAAAATGCATGAAGCTTAAACTGGGAAAAGTCCTCTTAAACTGCAGCTAATTATCCCTTACTGAAGAGTCAACATCCTTTTCTAAAGGTGACTAACTTGGACAGCTACACACGCAGATGCCTGGCCTACTACCTCAGCTCAGCAGCAAAGCCTCTATTTTAACAGGAACAGCTCAGGTGCTGTCAGAGTATTTATGGTGTATCCATATCATACTGGTTTCTACCCTCTTGCATGCTGGAACTTTAGTTCTCCAGTCTTACAGCACACATACTAGTTTGCACCTGGATTATCTTCTGGAAGTACATATTTGTTTTGATGGAGAATCACAGAATGGTTTGGGTTGGAAGGGATCTTAAAGATCATCCAGTTCCAACCTCACTGCCATGGCCAGGAATGCCTTCAAATAGATCAGGTTGCTCAAAGCTTTGTCCAGGCTCATCTCGAACATTTCCAGGGAGGGGACATCCACAACCTCTCTGGGCAGCCTGTTCCAGTGTCTCACCACCCTCATAGTGAAGAATTTCTTCCTTACATCTAGCCTAAATCTATACTCAATCCCACTGTCCATGTTATCTACAAGGATGTTAAAGAGCACCAGTCAATACCAACCCCTGAAGAGCGTCACTCATCACTGCTCTCCACTTGGACATTGAGCCATTGACCACAACTCTCTGAGTGGGACCATCCAGCCAATTCCTTATCCACCGAGTGGTCCATCTGTCAAATTAAATCTCCTCACAGGCTAGAAGCAGCATCAAGGTCCTGTATTAGGACATGAACACCCTGCTCTGCCAGCACACCTCAGTCTTTCAAGAGCTTCCCCAAATGCATTGCATGTCCTTTCACATCCTAGAGCTCAAACTTGGCATGATGCTGCAGAAACATACCTCACGCAGGCTGTACAGCCTCTTTTGTATAAATACAGTCATGGGTACAGATACAAGCACAGTACCAGCATCAGAAGCAATTGGTGTATTTAAGAATGACTACATGGTAGTGGAATACCTCCTAGACAGACTCATGGAACCATGGCACAAAAGACAATGCTATGGCAGGACCACATCATGACATGACTGCTAATACAGTGTGTCAGTGCAGCTCAACTGTCTCCAAAGGATAGCAACATGTACACAACGAACTTGAAATGAAGTTGGACATTCTTCTGTCCAACGAACAACGTAACTCATGTAGAGTCTAACCTTGTAATACCCAAATAATGCAGAGAGCTCTCCCCAGTATTTTGGAGAGGGAAGAAATATCTAACAGGGTACCAGCACAGCTGTCAGGTCACTAGTCAAGAGGGAGATACACACACTTTAAAGAGGAACTGAACCCTTACTTCTCTAGACAGTAGAAAGGTAATTAATGAGTAGACTGGATGCATGGAGGAGTCCTTCCCCCAGTACTACTCTATCCATGCCACTGCAAATAAGGCAATGCAATGCTATGCAAATGGTGGTGGCACTGGGAAGAAAGAAACAATCACAGAGAACCTAACTTACTAGTGAGGCAGCTACGGTATGAGGAAGAAGCAGTCTTTCCAAACCAGTCTTCTCTAAATTAAACACAGTTCAGCGGACTAAAGCCTCTGAAAGGCAAGCTACGGTTTTCTGTCTGAGTCCATTTCTAAAACTTTGCAAATTAAAATATTAAACTAATCATGTTTTCAGGAGCTATTCTTCAATAGTTCTAGAAAGTAAAAAGAGGAAAGATATGAGCATAGAATATAAACCGAAATCTAGGTCTCTCTTCTGGAAAAAAATATATGTGCACAAGAAAATCAAGGATAAGAGGTTTAAGAAATCTTAAGACACCTTTGCACTTACTAAAGCCTTCATTCCTCTGTTTGTGCTGGATGTGGAGAGTGCTCTACTAGTGCTCAGGGGACTGACGAACTTTAATAAGGTTGCTGTGGGATGATCCCCTCAGCTCAGGCCTGGCTTTCATGGGACTGCATAAGACTATACTAGAAGTATGAGAGGTATTGTAGAGAGCTGATGCTTAAGGCTGTAAGAAAGAACCTATAATGGGAAAAGTATCAAGTTGGAATGGAAGTTTGAAGGAGTAACACGTACTTAAAAAAGTTTCCTTATAAACCTATTTTTACTAATACTTATAATCTATGATAAGCAAAATACCTTAGGAAGTTCTTAATTTGCAAGTATCTAAAAAAGAATAAGGTATTTTAGAAGCCACTTAAAACTTCTTCCAGTGGAAGAAAAAAAACCCTGCACAGCAAGGCAATGAAATCCTGTTCAAGGTACAAAAAAAAGAACTCATCACTCAAAAAGATGGCCAAAGTAATGGCATATAATTACAGTATAACACATAAACAGATTCCTACAACAGGAATGCTTCCAACTTTCTTTGTACAAAACACACCTACCATCAGTCCTCATAATCCACTGTCATACTCTCACGAATGTTATGCATGGGATAAGGTGTGAGAATTTTACATTTGAGCTATAGAAAACAATGCAGTCACCTTAAATAGTTAACATTTCACTTCCATTTCCTTAGATACACAGTTAATACCTCAATTCCAGCTTTGTCACTTCAGAGAGTTCTCCAATTCTTATTTCTTCCACCTGCAACTCCTTAGTAGCACCTAGGAGTTTCTGTTGATCTCCAGGATTTGTAATGCCAATCTAAATTTAAAGAGTAATTCCAAGTATTACTTAAATACTTATTAGACATAACAGTACAGTACCATTTATCGTGTGAGTTTCTAATTATGAAGTCAAAAGAAGTTGCTTTTAAGTTATTGCAATCAACTACAACATATGTAACTGCCAAAGGAAAAAATAAAAACACAGAAATTAGTCAATGATGCAAAATAAAATTACAAGAGCTGAGAAAGAACCAAACTGAGATTGAACAGGATACTCAGAAAATCTCTTTAAGGTATATTAAAAAATGAATAGCAGTTTTTACAAGTACTCCTGTGTTGTCAGGATGTTATGCTCATCTATTTCACAATTATCTGAGTCATCTCTTACAGCAAAATAGCCAATCATCATGATGGTGATACAGAATTAACTCAGAAAGAAAGAATGGAAACTATCAAATCAGCATCAAATGGAGAATTTTACAGAAAGAGGCCAGATCTTAAGAAGGGCTTTTACAAGCCTTTGGGTGCGTATTTTTTCCCAGTTAAGAGAAACTGGTCTCATAAGATAAGATACCTCTTTCTAAAGCCTTATTTTCTTATAGAATCTCACTTGGAAAATAATTTACATCTACAGAGAAATCTAGCTGGTTCACACTACCCCCAGAACATGAAATTATCAGAAACTAGGAGAAAGAGAGAAAACGATCTGTTAAAGAGACATTCAGATGGATGTTTCTACCATGAAGTAGCTTGAAAAGCAGCCTTTTTACATATCTGAAGGACAGCATACTTATAAACTCAGAACAGATTTCTCGCCTCAAATTAAGATGAAGCTGAAATACTACCTGATACCAATTTACAGTCCCTAAACTCAAACCGGTTCATCTTCTATACTCTTGGCTAATGCTGCAAACAGCAACAGAGAAGTTCTGAAGTGTTCAAGGCTTTTTGTCTTTTTTAGCTGAAGAAAACCACATTTTTCTTCAGAAAATATATACTATGAAACCGAGAATCTCCAAGTGATGCCTGGGACAGAAAACACTGTCAGCTGTGTTATCCATCAACTATCTCAGATTAAAATTCAACTCGTATTTAAATCCCAGGCTGAGAGTTTTCTTGCAGAACACTTGAAAAAAAAAAAAAAAAAAAAAAAAAAAAAAAGAAAAATACTCCATTTGTTAAAAGGGAAGTGCTTCTGTGGCACATTCAATACCTTTCCTTGCTCATCTGACGGGCTGCTGTGCAACACAGAACTTCTGATGTTAGCAGCCCTAAGGATACTTTTCTACACAAGTGAAAAAACTCATTCCAAGTATGAATTTGTTCCTAACTCTCCACCTGGACTCAGCAGGAGTGGACCACTCTAGAATTTGAGACGGCAAGGATTCTACAGTTTCCAAAGCTAGAACATATGGGGCCTTCACTGATGTTCTGAGGACCTGAAGTTCCTGCAGCCTCAGAAACGTGTAAGATGTTAGTACTTGCAGTCTCCCAGTGTTCTATCATTATTGCAGAAAGAATTTTAAACGAACAGCTGACAATGCACATCAGATCAAAACGCCAGGCAGTCTCACTTCCTTGGATGGTGCCAAGCAGCAATTCTAGGGAAGAGAAGGTACCTAGAAAAATGCGTGCTTTGTGAAAAACTATTGTTTCTGATGTCCAGTGTTTATCGTGGCTCCATAAAACAGTCCTCCAGGTTCTCCACCAGGTGTTCAGAAATCACAGGTAACATGTAACTATGGGCTCACAAGTGTGCCTTTAAACATTTCAAAACCACACTGTAAGTCTATAGACAAGTAAGTTCTCCAGTAATGTAAAATCCCAACAAGATTAATGGGGAGTTTAACTACAAGTGTCAAGAACTTTTGAGTTTCCAATAAGTTGCCATGGGTACCTCAATAAATTGTACTCGAGTCTCTCTGGTAAATACCACTAGCAGCCTTAAGAGAGAAAGACCCAGGCTTCCTATAAATACTACGCTTTATTTATGTTGAGCTGTAAATTTGTTCAATCTATTAGTTCTCAGGTTTGCCTTGTGGAGGCCTATCTGGTATGAACTAATGTTTTCTTAATGCTTACAAAGCATTTCAGCAGCCACTTCATGATGCAGAAGGCTGATTTATACAAGAGCAGCAAGTTACTTTTAATTACAATTAAAAAAATCAAATGAGCTCTTCCAAGGACAAAGCGGCAGTTATTCTTGAATATTAAAACTGTCTCGCTTAAACAGGAGCTATTGCAAAGTTTGGGTTTGCTTTTGACTCAATCTTCTCATTCCTGGAACAAGCAAATCAGGATACAGCTTTCTGACCAGCGCATCAATAAGAAGCTGTATTTTGTTTCCCTATAAATAAAATGTAATTTTATCCTTCTGAAAATGGGGCAGTGACTGAGCACTACCACATCTTAAAGATATGGTTTAGGAAGAATGTGATATAAAGCCTTCCACCACTACTGTAGTTCTGAATTCAGAGGTACCAGGTGCAGAACTTAGAGACTGGAAATAGACAGACCAGTCCAAACTACTTCCCAAAGCAGAGATATTTTCCCTTTCTAGATCATCTCTGCTGAACATGAGGGTTCAGAACCTGACTATTAATGCAATGATGAATGCCTGGAATAAACACAGGGCAATAAACCCTTCTTCCTTATGGATAAGCAAGCTTTTAAGTTGGTGTTGGTTCAATTACATTCTGAAGTCCAAATAATGCAAATATTATTGTGAAGTGGCCATATGTTTAAGAATGTACAAGCGTTGTACAAGAACTTGCTTGTATCTGTAAAACAGACTACGCACAGTCTAGATTTTTATTTTAGGCACATCAGCTCCAACTTCTATTTAATTATTTACTTAAATAAATAAATAGATAAGTAAAAACCAGCTCATGAAAATCCATGCCCTAAACTCACGCACCAGCATCAACATGACTTATTTCTCACCCTTTAGATGGAAATGAAAGAAGAGAATAACAGATTGCCTCAACTCATGAAAGATGACATACTTCTCAGATAAAACCAGTGAAGTTATGCATGAATTCTTATACCCTTGCCATCTTGCCCAAGTGGCCACAATTTTTAATAACCTGAAAATCTTCTGCCAAATATTAAACGCTTTTTTGTGGGGAGGGGAGGCAGAGGAAGGATAGTTCTGGAACTGTGGTATGGAAGCACACAGACCAGATAATTCCCTAATGATGAAGTTAAATTTCTGGGTTACAGCTTGAATTTTGTTGTGTCAACTTTATATTATGCATTCTCCAATCCAGAACAAGATGCTAGTTTCTCTTATTCTAAACTAATAAACTAATAAACATGTGAGAAAGGAACTTTCTTAGTTCTAAATGCATCCAGAAGTAAAATTACTTCTGTTGTTATCTTGTAAGACAAACGCTCAAAAAAAAAAAAAACAGACAAAAAAGTTCTGAGTGTTATGAGTAACTCAGAATCAGACAAAAATCACCCAGTGTTGAATAGACATGTCCCAGTATATTGAACAGACTTGTCTCAGTATGGAACAGTTTATAAGCTTAAGGAATGCAAGGATTTCTGCTTGAAAGAGTCATTGTTTAGGCTCTGTTGTAGAATACAGATAAAGATATTTACAGAGAAAATATCTTTCTGATATTGTTTGATGAAGGAAAGTGTATCATGTTAGTGACAGGATTTCTCCCCATTCTCTCGATACAAAGCAGCTTGGTTCAGAGGCATCCATCAGAGGTCATCATTAATCTTTGTAGTAATAAGATCCAGGCTCTTTAAAATAGCTGGCTGTTAGCTGAAGATCTGCCATCACACTAAAAACTTTCAACTCTGGAGTTACAAGGAAACAGATTAGATTTGTTCTATCAGCAGTGTGGGGAGAAACTGTTAGTAGAGCTTTAAAGCTAGACTGCATCAAGAATGCAGGGTAACTTATTAAGTGCTAATAAGCCAGTAGTGTTATGTAGTTTTTTTACAATTCTCAACTGAAGACTCACTGATTAATTTATTTCCATGCACAAAGCACAACTTATTTTCCAGGAACTGTTTTCTGCTGTTGCAGAGCTAAGAGGCAAAACAATTCTGTTCCCATAAATACTATCCTCCTGCACAAAAGCAGCTGATCCAGGTATTTATTTCAGTTTGTCCAAAAAAGCCTTCTTTATAATAGCCTCAAACATGTTAGAACACTGAAACAGGACTTATCAGTTTGTGTGAAATTATACCTCTTTGGAGAAGGGAACCATAAGGCTCAGCCATTCACTAAGGTCCACAATTCTCTCCCCTTCCCCCAGTGTCCCCTGGACAAAACAAGTAACGATTACAACATCAAAACAGGTGATCAATATGAACATATACTCAGTCAAATTTGCAGTTTAATGTAATTGTGACAAACACAGCAGCTCACAGTGATGAGAAGAAAGCCACAAAAATCTCCTTCACAAGCAAAATTCCTGTCAGTGGGGGCTTTAGCATTCATACAAAGCCCACGCTGGAATGCTGTCCAATGGGCACAATCCCGAGGCTTCAGAAAACCAGCAACATCAGAACATGCTGACATGCCTTATAGTATTTAAGTCTAAGTGAACTCTTAATCTCTTCATCGACAAAGCTCCTATATATGCACCCTCTGGGAATGCAGTTACTTCTGAGCTCTGTCAAAACACTTAAAGTCTACTCAGTTACAAGACAAAACTTAGAATCATAGAATCGTTTCGGTTGGAAAAGAGCTTTAAAAATTGAGTCCAACATTAACCTAGCACTGCCAAGTCCACCTCTAAACCATGTCCCTAAGCACCACATCTACACATCTTTTAAATACCTCCAGGAATGGTGACAGACTGTCCCAATGCTCAACAATCCTTTTGGTGACCAAATTTTTCCTAATATTCAATCTAAACCTTCGCTGGTGCAACCTGAGGCCATTTACTCTTCTATTCCTTTCTGCTTGGGAGAGGAGACCAACACGCACCTTGCTACAACCTCCTCTCAGATAGTTGTAGAGAGCACCAAGGTCTCCCCTGAGCCTCCTTTTCTCCAGACTAAACAACCCCAGTTCCCTCAGCTGCTCCTCGTAAGACTCGTGCTCTAGACCCTTTACCAGCATCGTTGTTCTTCTTTGGACATGCTCCAGCACCTCAATGTCTTCCTTGTAGTGAGGGGCCCAAAAATGAACACAGTATTCGAGGTGCTGCCTTACCAGTGCCAAGTACAGGGGGAAAACCACTTCCCTAGTCCTGCTGGCCACACTGTTTCTGATACAAGCCAGGATTCTGTTGGCCTTCTTGGCCACATGGGCACACTGCTGGCTCGTATTCAGCCAGCTGTCGACCAACACCCCCAGGTCCTTTTCCGCTGGGCAGCTTTCCAGCCACTCTTCCCCAGGCCTGTAGTGTTGCATGGGGTTGTTGTGAGCCAAGTGCAGGTCGCAGCACTGAGCCTTCTTGAACCTCATGCAATTGGCCTTGGCCCATCAATCCAGCCTGTCCAGATCCTTCTGTAGAGCCTTCCTATCCTCAAGCAGATCAACACTCCCACCCAACTTGGTGTCATCTGCAAACTTATCAAAGGTGCACTCAACCCCCTTGTCCAGATCACTGATTAAGATATTAAACAAAACTGGCCCCAATACTGAGCTCTGAGGAACACTGTTTGTGACCAGCCACCAACTGGATTTAACTCCATTCACCACAAACCTCTGGGCTTGGCCATCCAGACAGTTTTTTACCCAGTGAAGGATATGCCTGTCCAAGCCATGAGCAGCCAGTTTCTCCAGAAGAATGCTGTGGGAAATGGCGTCAAAGACTTTACTGAAGTCTAGGCAGACAACATCCACAGTCTTTCCCTCATGACTAAGTGGGTCACTTTGTCATAGCAGCAGATCAGGTTAGTCAAGCAGGACCTGCTGTTCATAAACCCTTGCTAACTGGGCCTGATCACCTGGTTGTTCTTTACATGCCATGTGATGGCACTCAAGAAGATCTGCTCCATAATCCTCCCTGGCACTGAGGTCAGACTGACAGGCCTGTAGTGCCCTGGATCCTCCTTTCAGCCCTTCTTGTAGATGGGTATCACATTTGCTGACTTCCAGTCAACTAGGACCTTCCTGATTAGTCAGTACTGCTGATAAACGACTGATGCAAAACATCCTTGTGACATCAGCTCTAAACGAATATTAGCATCTGTTTGCAAACGTTGGTTCCAGCTGCTAGAACATGTCTCCTTGGTACCAGAATAGGGGGAAAAAAGCTGACACCAAGGACATGGCTAGCGCATCAGTAGCAGGGAGCAGGCTTGAAACAGCTACTTTAATGAGGCATCTGTGGTATCTCAGACCAGGTACAGAGTACTCAGAAGAATCCTGCAGCCTAAAGTACTTATGTTGTTCCAACGAGACTCATATAACTGGATTTTATTATGGCATCCTCCTGTAAGCACAGGAAGTCTTTAATTTCCCACATGAATAATTCCAGCAAAGACTAAGAAAAAGCAATGTCCCTACCACAACTGGAAACTGAAACCCTGTAACAATGCATCACATAGTCCTAGATAATAGTGACTAGTCTTCCCAGCTGCAGTAAACTCTAAGGAAACAAATCTTCTCTCCTTTCTTTTTTTTTGGTAAGGTCTTACAAACCTTTGTGGGATAAGAGACTCCACAATGTAAGATAGCTCTCGTTTTTCCATTACCACCTCACAAAGGAGGACCACATTTAAAGTAGTTGTGTAGGATTATCTACTGCTAACCCTAGCACTGATTTCCTTTCAGGGAAAACATACTTAAATACTAAAAATAGTTAACAACTCAAATTTAAAACAGAACTATTTCCTGCAGCAAAGAAATACTGGGGACTTCTACTTCATTGTCAGATCTAGGCAGAGAAGATGCAAAAATTCAACTCTCAGATTTCAAGGCTGATCTGTGGGATTACATACTTTAGAAAAGGATTTCCTATATTCACATTAAAATTTCAGAAGTTGCAAAAGATTCTGAAAACAGATCTTAAAAAAAAAAGAATTCTTACAAGGTTAGACATTTGTAAAGAGAAGTTAAGACATTAAAAACATTTAAGAAAGAGGAGAAAACTAAATCAAGTTCTAAAGCAGTAAACTGACCTGTATTAATTCATCTTTTTGCATGATCAGAAGTTGTCTTAAAGTTATATCTCTTTCCTGTGTAAAACAAAGGGTTTTCTGACATCAAAAGAATTTCAAAAGAAAACATTGCTTTCATTTAATTTTTTCACGTATGTTTTACTTTCATTTTCAGAAACAAAAACAGCCATACAACACCATTATCAAAGTAATGAAAGAGTTCTCTAGTTTAGAAACATTGTATATTGTGACTAACATACATAATCAAAATTAAGTAATCCAATCCAGTCCATTATAGTTTAACTTAATACTTTAGATGTAAACTTCTGTTTAATAAAGTTATTTGAAATTTATTTGAATTAATATACTAATAGTGATAGAGCTTTTTATGCTGTAGGTGCATTTTGCTTTCATGGATTATTTTACAGATAGATACACCACAAACTTACCTTCAATAATCCTATTACATGTTCTAGACCAAGACCATGTAAAAACACTTCAATGTCATCAAAACAGGAACTGTAAATATAATTAGTGAGATCTGGGATTAAAACAGTGGAAACTTTAAAAAAAAAAGACAGACATCCGGAACAAAATACTATAGGAAAGCTCCCCAGACAACTGGGGAGCAACCTGAAGTTGTACACACCTATTGATGACAGTAGTATCTCAGAAGCATCACAGCGTACAATTTAATCTACCAAAATTTTATAAATGGCTTTTCTGTCTAATGAGTTGAATTGAGCCTAAAGGGAATGATTTTAATAAATAAATGTAATTTTAAGTAGAAAAATGTTCCAACTGAACCTTAAAGTTGGGCTGCAAAATTGGAAGTGGGGGTAAGGAAGATAACTATGTATTCTTATCAGATAACTTTCATATAAATTTGATTCAAGACACAGCTGTTACCTTTCTGGTTCCATTTAAACCCAAAAAAGGTTATCAAGAAAACAGGAATGTCTATAATTAAAGATAGCAGAAATTAGTCTGGTAAGAAATTTGTAGTCAGAAGATTACTGTTCAGAAGGTAGACTGAGGAGGAAGTAATATAACCCACTATAGGTTCAGAGTTTAACATTATAAACAAAGGTAAAATATAAATTTTGATTCCCCACCCTACCAAAAGATATGAAAATATAAGTGAAAAAAAAAACAACCTCTAAACAGCTTTCAATAATCAGATGAACAACTATAATGAACAGAATTAAATCAAAAAGCAAATCATACAAGATGCAGAAAGGACTACTGTAATTGCTACAGCGAATCCTGTGTCAAAACCCCAAGTTAAAAGAGAGTTTGCTCCATCTTATTGAAGGCCCTGAAATGAAGGTCTGCTCACTTTTCACAGCAAAGACTTAAAAAGTAACTAATAAAATTTGTTAAAAAAAAAAAAGCCAAACCCCAAGTAAACCTCCCCCCCTCCCTCCCCCCCAGTACTAAATCTCTCTGAAAATTATTCTGAATACCTAAGAAAATATTTCAGGTTTGTACATTGAGAATATTGCATTCCAGGATTTCTGGTATTCAAGTACATTTATCTCTTTACAAGGATGGACACCCTAAATCACATATGAAAGAGTTTATGCAACTTACACACTGTACCAAGTCAATAACTCCGTGAGCATGCCTTCTGTCAGCAGGCAAAATACAAAGAGTTTAAAATAATTTTAACAAGAGTTTAAAGCCATCATCCCTACCATGAAGCTGTGCAGAACTATTATCCTCTGCCCGATTCCTCCCCCAACACATACACAGCCATGACCAGTCTCTGAAGTAAGCAATTCAAATATACATCCAAACTTTGTACGTACAGCCAATGTCCTTCAACTAGCAAGAGGAGACAGTGTGTGAATGACCTGTAGTGATGAAATGTTGTTATTTAGGCATGCAGAGTGCCCAGTTTACAAAGGTTTGGGGAGTCCTTGGGTAACTTCTGCTAAAGGTGCAAGGCAAGGACATTTTTTTCCAGGATCAAAGAAATGGCTATTCAACATCCAGACAATAACTTGAAAAGGACCTGAACCAGAAAAGGACCTAATCCAGGAGCTGAAGAAAGCAAATTCCTGACAGGTATGTGCATTTCCTTGTATAGTCCAGGGCTCTGGAGCCAGGACAACTATCTAATTAGGATGGCAGACAGCAACAACTGAGGCTATACTCACTATCTAAGGATGCAAAAAGGATGACAAGAGCAAGGACAACAAGTTATACTCAATGACCCTGCACGGTGGGGCCCAATTGATATCCAGTATCAGATGATGCATTAGGAACAACTAAGAGAACAGGGACTTAAGAAGACAACTGGCAATGCCTGTGAAGAAAATTATGCAGGCAAATGGCTGGAAGGAGACATCCAGCTCAAGGAACTATGACGAAGTAAACACAGGTACCAGCGTACCTCTTGACTATCACTAGATTAAAATAAACAACCCACTAGGGGGTGGGTATGTGTGTAAATGGATAAGCTGTATTTGTAAGAACAGGCATTTAACAGCCAGACATCTGGTATATTCCAGGGGACTGTTTCCTGAAACCAAGAGTTCCACTAATTACCAGAAATGCTGAAAGTTACAAAATATCAGATCTATTGTTAATATAAAAATCTTTCAGCTTGACAGAAATGTCTGTTCATACAAACAAATCAGTTGTTCATATGATGCAGAGAAAACCAGTAGAGTTTAGAAAAAGACTACCAACACATTGTGAAATTCTGGAAGCCCAAGAGTTGCCTAATACAGAATTACAGTTGCATAGCTAGTCATCTGGCTGCCACAGAGTATTCTGAGTGGACTTCAGGATTTCAGTGTCTTATTTTAAAAGCTTATCAAGACTACCCAAACACTGGTAAAATGTCCTTTAGACACCGTCAGGTTTCAAGAACACTAAACCCATTTGGATAACTGATGCATTGTGTTAGCTTATTTCCTTATACCAGAAAAAGTCTGGGAAACTTCCTAAATAACCTAGACCTATTAAAAAAAGATCTGTTTAACACTGAGGTCATTAAATACAGACTCCATCTAGAAGCATGAGTCTTTGTGAAGAGTATTAGAACACCAATCTATTTAAAAGAATGTCCCCTTCATGTCAAATATACAGGGACTCAAAAGATGATCCCCAAGGAACAGAAAGATCCCATAGGAGACCTTGTTCATAGATGGGGAGGTATACCCCGAACACCTTCAGGAACGTATGAGTAGTGAGATACAAGAACAAAGAGAACAGCATAGAAAATTAATTTTAACATGCAAAGCCTTCAGCCCTCTGCTCCAAGAAGTACCTCTAAGATGACTGTGTTTGAAGCACCAGAGAACAAAAATCTGACTGACGTATACATTCATCTAGCAACAGCACCTGGTGAGGCTTTGTCCAAACTGAGGTACTCTGAGACTGAGACTACCTCAATGTGAACTGCTACCTAGTGAACTGCTATCAGCCTAACGATACAGAACTAGGGTATTTCAAATTCAGCATGTCCTGGTTGAGCAAGGTCATAAAGAATCAATCTGACCAACAAGAAAAGACTATGGGCACTGGAAGCTGTCTTCTCAAGACCACGCAGCTGAAGCTCAAGGAGGCAAGTGGATGGTTTGTTGAGGACTTCTTGGCCAACATGTTCTGGGACAAAACTGTATCAGAGAGATTCAAAATTGCTGAAGCAGGGGCCGATTTCAGTCACAGGACACCTGCAAGCTTCAGGGTCAGGGGCATGCTGTGCAAAAGTTCTAGAGCTTAAGTGGTGTTCATATTTAATTTTACTCTCATATATGCAGAAAAAAAGGAAAAGGGCATAGCTCTTCCTGGTGGCATGGAGCTGAAAATAGGCATTCAGTGAAAACATCAAAGATTTAAGATCAAATGAATATAACCACACAACAAGGAGTATCCAACAGGGGAGTACACAAATTCAACAGAGCTAAAATGAACTGAAGTGAGATTGGACTCTGGCTCTACTATATATTTTACACCAAGTGAGAGAAAGGAGAGATCTAGAGCATGCTCTTTATAATACAAAGGAACTTTGAAGTCTTGAAAAATTAATAGCACATTAATACACTTAATGTGGACTCTTGGTAGTGCTCCAAACAATACACAATATGTATAAATACAACTTAATCATTGATATGAACAAATACAATCTCTTAGGAATGTTTATAAGCTAAAATTATCATATGATTGTATTTACCCAACTCTGTTGTCAGGGACAGCTGTCAGAAATTTGTAGATAGCCTCTTGCTTAATTGTTTCATGGTATCTCCCTTGCAAGTGATTTGCAGCCAAAGAGAGTAAACTATAAATCTGGAGGAGTCAAAATTAATTAATAATTATTCAAACTCAAAATGCATAAAAAAATACACAGGAGTAAGACTACAAAGAGTTCCATCATAAATTGCTGCTTAGAAGGAACATGAAACATCTGCCTCTTCTTCTCTAAAGCATACAACTACAATGTGGAATTAAGACTAAGCCCAGAGAGTTTACCAAGAACGTTTCTTTAACTGAATTCCACCATAAGGAATTGACACAGAGCAAACCAGTATATATAATTTAGTCTAAAAAAGTTAGCATCTGCATTATAGAAGCAATATACCAACATACTAATTTTTGTTGTTAGCAGACAAGTTCTACATACTCAAGGCAACAACGCTGCCTAAAGAGCACGATGCATATGACTATTTTAATGTATCCATTTCCAGTGCATATATGGATCCAACATTTAGTAATTTACAACTGACAATCTAAGTTAACTATATCTGACAGACACGGATTCTTTCAACTGATTAAAGAAGCAAGCCTTCTGCCAGACATCACTATGCATCAGTGATGGATTCCAGAAACTGAATTGCCCCTGTGTGAGTTTTGTTAGATAGTTACTAGAAATTTTAGCAAAACAAGTAGAACTTCAATAAATGTAAAAGAATAGTGAAACCACTTTCCTGAAATTGAGGTGACTAGCCGGATTTGTATATATATACACATATATATGTGCAGTGGGTTGATCCTGGCTGGCAAACTAGCCCCTACTCAGTCACTCGCTCACTCTTCCCCAGCAGGATGGAGGAGAATCAGAAGGGTAAAAGAAACATACAGTTTAATAAGTGAACAGAAAAAACCCCACAAAACCTAAGTCATGCAAAGGCAGTCACACCACCTCCCACAAGTAGACCAATGTCCAGCCAGTCTCCAAGCAATGGCTACTTTGGAAAATCTCCCCCCACAATTTTATTGCTGAGCATGTTATATGGTATGGAGTATCCCTTGGATTAGCTGGGGCCAGCTACCCTGGCTGTGCCCCCTCCCAGCCCCTTGCTCTGTCCCAGCCTACTTGCTGGGGGGTGGAGGGAAGAGTGAAAAACAGAGAAGGCCTTGATGCTACACAAACACCACTCAGCAATAGCTAAAATACTGGTGTGTTATCAACACTGTTTTGGTCACAAACCTAAAACACAGCACCGTACAGGGTGTTAGGAAGAAAAATAACTCCATCCCAGCCAAACCCAGTATAATATGTAAAAAAAAAAAAAAAATCTCCCCTCTGAGATACAGTTTCTGCAGATATAGTCTATATGACAGCTCCTTGGGTTGGCAACAACCTGAAGAACAGACCCCCACGTTGGAAGAAGCTCATGACCATTAAATATCTCAAAACCATCTGCAAGACTTTGCAGTAACTGTGTGAAAGTTGGCGCTTCACAGGTCAAGAGGCAAGACCCACCTCTCCAGTGTGAGGAGTGTGTATTCCCTCCATGTCAGAGAAAGTCGTGTTATAAGATTACATGGCTGTAGCCTGCTGAGCAAGTAATTTATCAAAGGTAAAAAGCATTTGTAGCCCCTTTCAGTAACCTGATCTAACAGATCACTGAGCCTCAGACACTGATCTTGTTAGCCTACACTGACAGCTTTGTGCATAGTTATCATTTTTGCTCCTGCCTAGCCCTGGAGTCTGACAGAGAAGGGAAAAAAAAAAAAAAAAAAAAAGGAAGAAAGAAGCCGCAAAATTAATTACAATTCACTAGAGTGAATTATACATTTTTGAAGAGCCACTGTGAAAAGCCAGACCATTGGTAAGAGCAACGCAAAGCAAAATACACAGAAATCTGGTCTGATTGATACACCATTCATCATCTGGTAACAGCAGTAAACAGATTTATTTTAGGATAATATATGCTGTCTTCAGCAGCTCTCTACACTGGTAATTAGTGTCTGCTCTTCCAATGATATGATGATCAATTTACTTTATTTTGTACCTTCTTCCCTTTAGAGAATGGATTTTGAAGATGACCAGTACCAACTCCCCCTCCTTTTTTAGCTTTAGCCTTTTAATTTCCAAATTCACTCAGAAGCCATACACTGCAAATTAGTTTGATACCCACATTTCTCTCTCATACTTTGGCTGACAGGAAAAAGCCAACAACTACTTCTTATATCCACATTAACATGAATAATCCCTTGTTCTGTATTCTAAATCTTAAGTCAAGGATTCTGAAAAGAAATAAAGAAAAAAAGTTCCCAAAACATTACTATATAGCATTTAAAGCCCTGTGAAAAATTGGGATATAACAGAAAATAGTCTATATAGATGTAATAGCACAAATATTCAACTAGCTGCTATAATTTAGTTATTAAAGCAACACTTCTACAGAAAATGATACAATTAACATATTTTTGAGGCAAAATTTGCTTCAGAATTTGCATTTCAGAGAAATTAAATCGAATACCTCTGAATGTTTATTGATTTTTGCAAGCTCTGCTGCTGTTTTCTCATCCTTAGTCTGTAGATTTTTGTCAGCTCCCAGCTCAAGCAACTTAAAAATGACACTTTTATGTCCATGCTGTGCTGCCCATATTAATGCCTGCAAAGAACAACTTTGTTTTACCAAATTTACATATGGAGCAAAATAAAGAGCAGAGGGTCAATCAATAATGCAACCTTCATAAGTTCTTACATGGCAGAATCTAAAGTCAAAGACAATGCAGAAGAATTTCAAAGTGGTGTTAAAGCAAGAAAATATACCAATGAGGATTTCTGAGAAAGTTGTACTTAGAAGCAAGCTTGTGGGTTCTTGCTTTTTAAAATGCTTATCATTAATTACAACACACAGAAGTAAATCACTTACTGAATATCCATTTTCATCTTGGGCATTTATGTGTGATCCATGAGCGACAAGAAGAGCAACAACCTGAGGATAGCCTTTTCTAGCTGCATACATCAATGCAGTCATTTGCCTCCTGAAAGAAAAGGGGACAGGTGAAAAAAATAATTTCAAGATATCAAAATCCAACTGAATTATCAAGTAGAGCACCTCAATTTTGTAAACATTCTCAGTTCTATAGAAGAGCTAAGCAGAGGATGAAAACCCAAGACACCACATTCATGCTTCAGCACAAGGGTTAACTTAACAGAACACAAAGGTACAGCAACTCCTTTAAGTCCAGTTAGCAATTTTAAGATATTTTAAGAGTTCACATTTATTTTCTGATTGAAATGAAGTCAAGAAGTCCACTGTTGTCCTCCACAAGAAGGAAACTTAGAGGAAACTAAACAAGTCTCTTCCAGGATTTTCGAATATAGACCTATAGTACTTCTGGGAGAAAAAGTTAAAAAAAAAAAAGTCAACATTTTATCACCTCCAAATTTAAGTAGCACAACAACACACAAATAATACTAACACGTGCCAGCTATGAAACACGGTAGCTTGGTGACTAAACCATTTCTGTTCTGTTTCTGAACTACATAAAACCAGTTTTTGAAGACCATCCCTCCTACTGCTAACCACAGACCCTGCAGCAGGCCTCTCATTTAGCACACAAATCAGCTTAATGAGAAGGGAATGGGAATAACTGCAGATCCAGTTTGCACACCACTAAAAGCAGAGAATATCAGTAAATCACCCATTTTCCCCCCTCAATTAAAAAGTGGCAGATATTTTTTTACTTAAAAAATTATTTTTAAAAGACACAGCCTAAGCGTTGAATTCTACATACAGTTTAATTTAAATCCAAAGTTCTGAAAAGAAATATGCAGTTTTGTGGAGGGCAAGTTGTAAATCATAACTGAATATTTAAGAGGAAAAATATTAAGAACAACAACTATGTACATACTTGCAAAACCTTCTCTGGTAAAAACAATGTAAGCAAGAGAATCACAGGTCACACAGCTCCTGCTGGTGTGAACAGGTGCAGTGCAATAGCACAGGGTTCACATGTATTATCTACATTCAGAAGCTACCACCTGCCCAAAGTATGCCTGAGAGGAGTCTTCAGAGAATTACATACAAATGCCATACTGGAAAGTCTTCATTTTTCAAGTACTAAAACGAAATGCACATCAAAATATTTCTGACCTTTACCCCATTTTTGTTTCCTGTTTGCAGAAATGTATCTGTCGATGCTTTCTCTCCTACATATATTACTATTTCTTACAATTGCTGAAATATTCACAGACATCACCTTTCCCATGACTGTTTCTTTTTACATTTGAAAGCTATTATGACAACAGTCTATTGATCTTATGCTGCTACTGAGATGCTTGTAAGACAAAGCTATTGTGAACTGCTCTGAATATTCTGAAAGGAAAAAAAATATTGATCAAAAGCTTCTTAGAAAAGTATCTTTCCAGATGTCTGACATTTCTTCTTTAATGGAGTAAGATTGTGGAAGGAAAAACAAAGCAGTATTGGAGGAAAAAATGTGGAGTTTCTGGTCACTATGAAGTAATTAAATTTAAGCTAAAATATTACACAAGTGAAGTTCAATTAAAATTTATTATTTCTTAAAATGTAATATTTTTTCCTGAAAAACTATCATGTATTGCTTTTAATGTACAGCTCTATGTCAAAAATCTGCTGTCAAAAGATGATTCTATCTTAGTAGGATACTGTTGAGGGGAGGATCACTCTTTCCAATATAGTTTCTTAAGTTCAATACCGACCACTAGAGGGACCCCAAAAAGCACTGTATAACAAAGCAGCACTATTAAAATACACTTTCTGCCTCCTTCCAGAGTACTGCTGGAACTAAGGCTTTACTCACCTCTCCTTGTTATTGCACATTCAGAAGAGGGTAACATTTTGTCTTATGCAAACACAGTTAAAAGTGAACTGAAAAAAATCCAGTCATAATACAAATCCAAAGAAGTCTTATGATAGGGAAAAAAAGTCAACTGCTTGGAGACAAGCAAAATGAAAGGTAAGCAGCTCTTCAAGACATGCAGTCAGTACAAAAAAGGAACTTTTCTAGAAAGTAAGTTTTCTAGTCTCCATCTTTGGTGGGTTTTGAGACCAGATGGCAGTCTAGCCCAATGTCATAGCCGAGGTAACTTTAAGGAAGAAGTTGGACTAGAGACCTTCTGAGGTCCCTTCTGACCTGAATTACTATGAAGATTACTATAAAAAGGGAGAAAAAGACTCTACAGCCTGCCCCTGTAACTTAACTAACTGATGAGATAGTGAGGTATAACTATTTATACATAGACATAGGTAGATATCTACAGATATGTATATTTTAAACAGTGAACAGAAGTTCATTACAACCTAATAATTTGTAGCAGCAGCTTGCCCAATGCAGACATTCACTCCCACACTTAGTTTTATTCAGTGGCAGGTAGGCTTTGACAGACTTTCTATGCTATCACTGCTATCACCTTTGAAGCATTTACATCTGACCACAAAACCAGTCCATTCGTGCCTGTTTTCATTTTAATTTCTTCTGCTCTCAATATTATTTTTTTTTTGAACTTGCACACTGTTACAACCTCACAGTTACCTTCTGCTTTTTTAAAGGGAACACACTGAACAAAAGTCCAGAGGCCACAGAACAGTCTCTTCTCCAAAGATCATCATGTAGTAGTTACAGCTGTACAGTACTGCAGACATGGTATCTGGAATCAAGGCAACAACTCAATGACATTAAAGCCACTGAAAAAGTTTCTCCATTTTTAAGTAAAACCCAATAAACATGACATTTAAAAGGTCCATCAACATGAATACGCAATTAGTACTTCAAGCATTCCATTTTAATGTTTGAGTTTTAACTTCAAATGCTACAAGTTCTTTCAGGATAGAAACATACACGGTGCTGCATAAATCTACAATTGCATTTACGCACCCCTGTATATGAGGGGGTACTGTTTAATGTCTTGGACACAATACTGCATAGCCATCACCTCAGAAACAAGGTCCATTTACATATATGTCCGCAAGAGGGAGACTAGAGCATTAGGGAAAACAAATACTGTTTTCCTAACCCTGAAAAGAAACACCCCCTCCCCGTCCCCTGTCCCTCGATAAAACAGCAAGCTTCCAGATGCCAAATCCACTGTTTCTTGCTGAAGCTGAATAGGAATTAAAGATACTGGTACATCTTACTGCAATCTAAAAATGTACATAGAAAGCGTAGTGATAACTGTCAAGATTAAAGATCTGAAGAATTCTTTCATGATTTTGAGGAACTGTGCAGACATCTGCGTTTCAGTAATTTGGCTTGCAGATGACCTTCTTGTCTGAATACCTGCAAAGTCCTTTTGTATGGCACAATTTGCCACATACTTGCCCATAATGAACATGGTTACTCAAGTCACAGTCAGTAAATAAATAAAATCTTAAAAGACATATATATAAGCAATTTATTAAGCACGATGTCTATTCCAACTATGTTTGCTTCGAGCTATGCAGTACCTAAATAAAAAGCAAGGAATTACTCATTGGTCTCATGCAAATTAAGGGTTTTTTTGTGCGTGTGTGTGTTTATCTTTAGCTCTCCCTGCTTTTATGTTAAGGCTGGAGAAAAAGACAAAATCAAAAGGCTTTTCAGTTTTCAGGGCCACCCAAAACTTTGTATGTGACATCTACACAAAGATACAACCAGAGGTTCTTACAGGGTCACTTCATTCTGACAAAAAAATCGTGCAAAACGTAATTACAAGAGAGCATGCTGAGCGAAACGGCCCTAAAAGCTACCACTGGGAGCCTCCTACCCTGGATAACCACAAACCATGATAAAACCAGGTGATCCAGTGATAGCTAGCTACCTCACTGAAAGCGTCCTGAGTTGTGAAAAGCTGAATCTGGTGCAGAATTCAACACACCTGACAAACACACATTCTTATGTTTGGGCTCATGCTCTCCAGCATGACAAAGTTCATCTTCCTGGAAAATTTCAGAAGACAGAGGAGATGAAGAGATGTCTTCCACCTAGACAAAGGTTTCTTTCCATTGGGGATATATTTATAGAAAATTTCAGTTTGGTGATCTTGAGAATTACAACCTGTATGTAAAGTTTCATAACTGGATATATGTTTATTAACTAGACCAGTGTATCACTGACATTAGAAAAAAATACAGAAGGTCAAAAGCAATTTAACCCTATGAATTTAGGCTCAATCTTTTTTTACTAGATCTCCAAAATTGTGCTACAAAACACTAATGCTTTAGTCTATTGATCTGCAAATTGAACACTGCTTCAGATCACCAGGAAGCATCTTCAGAAGCTTCTGGAGCCACTTTCACCACTCCAGTGCTTTACATTAAGCCTGGAACTGAGAAATTAAGTGGTAGCAGTGTGCCACAGCAACAGAGGGAAAGCTATTTGCCCATTTTCTGGCTTACTGGGGTTTTAAGTGATAAGGCGGGAAACCCTATAAAAGTAGTAGTGGAAGAACATACTTTCTGTACTGTGAGCTGCAAGATACTTTTTCCAGGCACTATCATCTGGAGAAAGGTAGGAGAGTCCTCTATGTTCTCAAAGCAGAACTTGTTAGGAGAATGGAACATGCAGCCATATGGGCTGGAAAAGGGGACAGTTTAGTTTCAGGTTCCCTAGTTGTAGGCTTCATCTCAGATTGCCACTTCTTGTACCTTTCTGCTTCTGAACTCTGTTTACACGATTGTTTTAAAATTAAAAAAAGACATCTGCATAAATGCTACAGCACACAGAGTGGGAAGGTAGACTGTTACAAAGTTATCTTCATATGACTAGAAAAATACGAAGGGTGTGATTATAAAAGGGATTAGCATAAAAATTAACAATAGGGATGGCAGAACTCTATGCTGTGACATTCCTGGTTATCCTGCCTTGTCCTCCTACATCCTTACTCCATCACTCCATCACATTTTTACAAGCAAGCTAATTTAGCTAAAACCATGCACATAAACTAGAAAAACAAATACGTTATCCACACAATCAAAAACTTCTCACACTCTTTTCAATTTTAATTCAAAGTTGGAGCAAAGTCTGCAGTCAAGAAATCCAGCACTTACATGTGAAATCTACTCCACCTTCATAGTGAAAAGGCAATTCCCTTGTCATGTAAAAAAACCCAGACCAATTCTATGCAAATGACCCATGATCAGGGTGAGCTAGTGGCAATGATAGGAAGTTTAAGATACTTGGGATAGAATGTTGCTGATATAATGCTAATGGCTTTCAGTGCAGGTTTTGTTTGTTTTACACAAAGCCTGCTCAGGTGACATTCCAAGACACCGCAGTACACTGTCAGAATGCCTCTGTTAAAAACAGCATCTAATGCTATTGTCCCCAAGTATTTTATACCTCTGCCAGAAACTGTGATCAACAATTGCAAGCCTCTGTTGGTACCACGGTACAGTCAATACTAGCTGGGAAGAGTAATCATCTATTTCAGTGTCTAGACTCCTTCCTCCCTACCAAACGACCTGATGAACAAAACTCAACACTTACATTCAAAAAAGTCACTCTCTCAAAGTCATGGAACTTACACATTTACCATGCTTCTGACTTCTCTCTAACTCGGATGAGAGGAGGGAAGACATGTATGGACATAGCCCAGATGAGCACAGTACTTTGGTAAATGTAATTTTGCATCTGATCTTTCACATTTAGTCTCTCTGTCCTGATGTTTGACCAACATAATAAAATAAGTCTTTCTGTCCTGAGTTCATAGCGCTAGAATAAAAAACTCTCCGAAAGGCATGAAGTATAATAGAGTGTAACATCACAGAGTACTTTCCCTTTGAGGTGGATCAAAGATCTTGACTTGATCAGTATTAAAAACCCTTATTTTTTTGCTGCAGCCATAAAATGCACTGTAGTGCATAAATTTTTCCCAGGCTATTTACCTTTACTGAAATGTACTGTTTGTCATTTGGCATGGTTAACTATCACACAATGATAATGTCAAGGTCTTTGAAATTATTATGTAGCAGTGCAGACTTACTATCTTATCAGTAGCAATAAATATCTTGCTAAAATTGAGGTGTTACACAATTACTTTATTCTGACTATGCAACCTGAAGAAAGACCTACCTTGTGAACTGGGCAGTACTGAGATTAAAATTTCCCTCTTCCATTATTATCTTCTCAAGAGAGCAAAATAGACCAAAACTTTCATCTTGAAACCATTTTTGATACTCCTCAAAACTGCTCTGAATTTAAGCATAATTGAACATACGTAGGCAACTTAATACAAGACCTGAGCTGTGATTATATTTTCATGTATATACATTCACGTACATGACTATGCTTCAAGTTCAACTTTTAATCTGTACAAGGGCAAAAGACAAAAGTCTAGTTCTCGTAATACTCACCCTAAAAAAAAAGAAAAAAAAATAATCTAAGACTCTCTGAAGACTTTTCTTTAAACATACACAAAATTCATAACCATTTTAGAGCAGAAACACTGAAGACAGGCTTGGTCATTGACCAGGACTCAATTGGGCCAGAAATTTTAAGAGTGAGGGAAAAAAAGCCACACAAACAAAATCAAACCTCCACATATCCCACGCAGAACAAGAGACAAAGAGCTTATGTCAAAATAAAGGAGGTTTCAGTCATTTGCCTGTTTGTACCTTCCTCTAACAAAGAGCTATTAGCATGAAACATCAACTCAAAACACTCTCCTTACTGGCAAAGCCATTAGGTTTCTTTTACTCTATGTAAACAAGAACCTGGAGGATGTCATCACTAAAATCCATATTTACTAAATAACCTATGACATGTAACCCTAGCAGCAGGAATTTAGTTATCAGTTGGTCATGACTTTTCCTTCTGTCCAAAATGAAATCACAGCTTTGCATTAATAAAACCAACATACCTTTAAGAAAGCACTGCAGGTTAAGAGGTTTTCAAAAAAAAAAAAGATTGCTTAAATATTTCCAGACCTTACAAAAGGATAAAGTATATAGTTTACATTTTGAAGCAATAGGGACGTGAATGATACAAGATAAGCAGAACAAATTTCTCAAGGTAGCATTCACTTAAATGAAGCATTCAGGCTATAGTAGCTCTACAAAGGCTACACGGAGCAGGTCTTACAATGCCTTCTTATTTCACCTAGCTATTACCTTACTCCTTGTTTGTCTTTCAAAACTCTTCGGTTAGCCCTTATGCTACGATACACTACATTCTCATCAACAAAACTATTTTTACAGCCATCAGTATTCAGTTCCCAATTTTTATTTAGCAAAAATATCAGAAGTTACTGTACTGAATACTTTCTCCTCAATACTCTATCCTATTGCAAAGAAACCCTCTACCTACCCAATCCTAAACTCATCTTCTTTCTTAGACTGCATTTCAAAAATGGTGTTATTTCTCATTAATCCTTCCCTTCTCCGTACACACTTCATGAATTAGACAGAAAAATGGCAAGGTTCTTTCTGTCACTTCCAGATGACATGGAATAAAAAAGCCTACTGTCTGCCCTGACAGCACAACAGAGAACGGATAAATACTAATCTCTACCTTACATGAAAGTTAAGTATTCTGCTTTGCATTCACACACATTCCAGTTGGTGGTGGACAAAAGAGAAGCTTCCTAAAACCATTCGGTTCTTAAGTGCTGAGACAGCCAAATAATGTGAACCTTAGTTGCTAACATCTGTGGTAAACTGACCACACAGGAACTACTCTCACAATAATCTCAACTCACTGACAGTTCCGATGCCCTCCTACAGAACATCCTGCTTGCTCTAATGAAATGGGTGAAATGGGACTGCAGTGACACACAGAAGGTCTGTTTTGATCCCTTATCTTCACTGAAGCTGGTTTGATGTGTTTCATCCCCCTGTTTCAGAACACAGTGAAAGAAGCCCAAGAGAAGCAGCAGCTGCTGCCTGAGCAGTTCTAATGATGAAGTGGTACACACAGATGTCAAATACTGGAAAGGAATAAAGGCAGCACAAAGATTTTTGAAAAATTCAGACCTCGTCATCTAACTTCTACTTTTGTTTGGTACAAATATGACATTTCTGATTGTCATTTAATTTATTTCTTCATGTGAGAAAGACTATTATTGCAAAAGTGAAAAAACCACAACTGGACACTGTATCTGATGCATGCAAGCATAACACAATAGCACAAGGTCTTAGGAAACAGATAGCAAATAAATATTTGTATATCAAGATCAATTATGCATAGCATACACACACTAAGTTTATTTATAAAGTTTTGCCCTTAAAATCCCCATCTCTAGTGTCAGAATCCAATCTGTTTTTTACAAAGTGTAGCCAAAGGCCTTTCCAAATGTAAACCTGCATCTTTGCACTCTGGCTTACATTTTCAAACAGCCAGGGCAAAGTTTAATAACGCAAAGGCTTCCCCCATTTTTTAAAGCAGGATATTTATCCTAATAGTCAGCTGAGGGCAACAATATGTAATTATTTCAGAGTCTGTAGCTTTCTCTTTTTTCACGAACAATTTTTAGCCTCTCTGATAAGAATAAATGAATGACATTTAAATTTGGTTCCAGACATCAGTGGCACTTCAGCACAACTATGTTTCTTCCTTGTCTATCAGTACAATGCTCGCAGTGAGGCTCAGGGCCCAGAGTAATTGAATTCTACTAATGAGAACAAACAAGCCTCCAATTCTGTTCTTTTTAGAGGGCTACACAGTCCACATCTCTCAGGTAATGTGGTAGAAGAGCTGTGGTATAAAAAAAGAATTTCAGTTAGTTGAAAACCAAGAATTTTCAATTTATTTATATATTTTAATATATATTATATATATTTATATATATATTATTTATAATCAATATATAATTTTTTTTTCCAGCAGAGGGAGGACAGTTTATCCTGGGTCAGCCCAGAATTTATTTCTTTTTGATGCAAAATGAAACCTTGCATCAGACTATGAAACTACAGACATCTCACAATGCAGTGCTTTGGACTGCTGAGACACAAAGTGGTAATTCAAGAAACAAACTATTACTTGTTTTTAAAAAGAGATTAAATCCAGATTACACTGGAATAAATGTATTTTATTTACAGAGAAGTTTTCTTTTTCCACAGGAGGCTGTCTGTGAAAGGAATATAGCTGGATACCCACAAAAGCTCAAAATGAAGTCATGAATTTAAATAAAAGAATTGAGTGATTTCACTTACATCCTTATACAGAAGGGACAATATGATTTGGGAAAGGCAGAGGACATATTTCTTGCCCTTGTACTACAGTCAACCAAAGTATTAAGATCAGCTTTTATCGTAAATTTAATCTTGTTCAGCCCAGGAATATACTTAAATTTGATGAAACTGATCATAGTCTTATTTACTCAGATGAATGACAGTATGAGGAGAAATAAGTATCTGGACATTCGTCTTTTCTTATACAGACAGTAGCAAAGTTACAAAAAGCTAATGAAGTATGTCATCTTAACCAACAACAGCTATGTCTATAAAGATGTCTCTGTAAATTAATATTAAATTTTATGTTGTATTCACAGACATGGGGTTTTTTTGGTACCTGCAAGTGAGGTTAGGGTCAGCATTTCTTGATAGAAGCAGTTCTACAGTCTTCAAGATGTTTTCCTCTGAAGCTTGCGCAGTGCACGCTGCCATCAGCACAGTGTACTTATCTGTTTTGAAACTTGCAGTTAGAGAATTACACATGTAAATACCATGCTAAACCAGAAGTTCCTTTAAAAGCCCTTATATTCGCTAGAGTTGTTAGTTGGGTTCTGATGCTCTAAGATATTTAGAAAAGGGTAAAGAAATTTGTTTTCCTTCTCGTGAAAGTCACTAGAATTATCAAGTAAGACAAAGGCATCTGAGACCAGAAGATACCTAGAAAGATGAGAGTGAATGGCAGTAGTGAAGCATCTATTCCTACTGAAGTCTATGATACTTCTTAGGTACCCCCAACAAAACAGTAGGAGCTTAACTATAAATGCTTGTTTCTCAAATCTTGTTCTACACACAGTAGATTCACTCCCTGTTCCTCCCTACCTCTCCCCAAAATACAGTCCAGGGTTAAAAACAGCTTACGGGAAGTTAACTGCAATGGATAGAAGAAGTGTATAAAATTTATTATAAACACATAGTAACATCAATTTTAGGGAGAACAGAGGCTCACACAAAGGACAGTTGAAGTAACAAGGCTTTATTATAGGGCTTAAGGAGAAGGAAGTTTACTAGACTAGACCACTATGGTAAAACAGTGATAGGAGAAGGCTTGAAAGTATGGTTTTAGATGTGGATTTAAAGAACATTGACACAGTCCATAAACATTCATCAGGAGGAATGAGTGTATTTGCTCCAGCTCTGAAGCCAGCTGGGTGTTTTATGCCACCTTTGCTCACAAATCAGAATTGTACACCGCTGTTGTCTGTCCATAGAACAGGGGACATCTTTCCCATGGTTTTCCCAGAGATGGGGGAAGCATCACACCTCAAGGACCTTCGTGAGTTAGTTGGCCCTAGAGTCAATTAGAAGACTGCCGTTTTGCTTATTGCACAAACTTGTTCACAAGTTCAAACATGCCTCAAATGATTTAACAAGTGTAATTTTAGCTGTACCTACTTCAGACCATACCATGAAGTGTTACAACATATTTTCTAACCTTCTTGCAGAAATTTTAAGACTGTGTATATATTAACACTTTTATTCTTCAACCGAGGCCAGATTTTATTATATTTAAACATGAGGAGTTTGTTATGTACTTTACCCTCCTCTGCTCTACTTTCTTTATTTCTCGCAACTTTTTTCCCACCCCTCCAACCAAAGACCTCAGTTTTGCATTGAAATTAATCTGTTTTTTTAATGTATCTTCTAACTTTCAACCCCCTCATGTAGAAGTTCTAGCACACATAAATCAGTATGGTAAATGAAAAATTAAGTTTCAGAGAGTCACTTAAACTCCTGAACAGGAAGCAATTAACATTTCAGTAAATTACTCAATACACTGACAGATTTTTACTCAAAATGTTTAACTGGGTTATCCGTAACAACATGAATGGAAAGATGGCAGGACTTTGAACAAAGGTAGTGGCAAGCACTGTTAATCTGGGAATGATATTTAGGAGGAACCTGTAGTTATATTTGTATTCAGTATTTCAGGTAGTGAGAGTAGGAAATTAATTTCTGCTAGCCTACCTATAGCTCATACATGTGATCAAGAGAAGGGGAAGAAGCACCTTAGAATCTCAGGTTCTTCTTTTGCAGAGAAAAACTGGTAAGAGACTGCAAAAGAGATTAGTTTATGTTCCACCTAGCTGAAAAACCCAGAAATGCCAGTGAATTTACTTCTCTGGGATGCTGCATAATGATCCCATTGCATAATGACTGCTACGTTAGTTCCTTATTCTTCAAGACTACCAAAAAGGGTAAAATTAAGTAACCACTTAAAAAGAATAACTGAAATGTGACAAAAGGGGATTAACAGTATAGCTATTGTTAGGATTATATGCATTATAGGAGAGTTAGTGCAGGATCACCTATGTGAATGACTGCTGATGTGAAAAAAAAAAAAAAAAAAGCAGCAGGAGCAGTGACATTTAGTGCCACTTTAGGATGGGCATAGCTTTACTGAACACACGTGGCCTGACCTGAAACAATGACTTGCAAGACTGTTCCTGGCTGGACACTACTCTGCAGTGCATATGCCCTAGCTACTGTTTCCCTACACAGACTAACAGGGAAACAAGATGAGAAACCTGATCCTAGCAAGTTGCCAGTTAGGGCAAACACTGCTGGTCACACACTGAAAAAATGCCGTGCATGTTGGTTAACTGGTCAGCTGAAACTGCTTCCCATAGCAGTTTCTGCCCCATTTATATCTCTCCATAGCCATAAACAAGGAACAGGTACGAGTTGTAGGCAGCCATATGGAAGTTCTCTGAAGTTGGCTACAAGGACAGTAATTCAAAGGCATGATAGCTTTTGGCGCAGGCAGTTTACTCTAATCTCATACTCTGATCAGCTGCTAAGAAGTTCAAGAAAATTTTCAGAGCATTTCAGTCTACTACTATTACAAATATTGTCAAGTTACTGGAAAATATGATCACTGCTTTTGTGTTCTTGGCAGCATTGTGTCTTGTATCAGTTTCTTCCATAGTGCAATGTTTTTTGTTGAACTTTGATAAATGAAAGAGGAGGAAAATAACCACACTTTAAGTAGGAAAAAGTTATTATTAAACCATAAAAATTGACACAGGAACTGATATTACTTAGAAGCTCCACTGAACTCTTGCAGAACACACTGAAGAACAGTTTTCACTTAACAGATCAGATCAGTTCCAAAACAATTTTTTACTTTAAAACTACTGCTTTTACTTCAAAACTGTGAAAGTTAGACTTGGTCCCAGTTTCACTGTAAAATTAGACTTTTTCCTTATATATGTTAAAAAAGAATAAGGATAGGACAATGTTTGGTACTGAGCATTACTGGCCAGTGTTTTTCATTCACATCTTACCTATTTCAAAACATGCATTAGCACCTCTGTCCAGAAGAAGACGCACTACTGCAAAGTCAGCCACACTTGCAGCACACATCAGGGGAGTCCATCCAAACTGAAAGCTAGATTCTATGTTTATACCTGTCAAAATTGAAGATACTAAAATCATAAAACTTCACCACAATAAACATGCTTTTTATAAACCTTGGTCTCAAAATGTATCAATACAAAGGTTACACACTGTTTGTGTTTAGTCCTAGGGAGAGAAGGCTCTTATATAGTTTTAATTTCTTTAATACACCTTTATCTAGAACACCAGAAAACAACTTTTAAACGTGACACCAAGAAAGCTCAGTTCTCAATCCAAGAAGTACCACAGAAAGACTACATTTCAATAAATATTTAAGTAATAAATTTAGCTTTAAAAATAATTTCAGAGAAGTGCACAGAATCTCTGTTCTCTCCACTTATGTACTCTCTTCCATCAAAATTAAAAATTTTGATTCTTGCCAAGCCAAGTGGACTGCTATAGAAGCAATTTGCTTGTCAGGTAATTAAGACCATATTGACTAGAGTTTTCCAGCTTCACAGCTCCTTTTATTCTCTGCCTCGCAAGGTAGTTAACTAGCGGATACCAGTTTTGTGTTCAGTACTAACAAAATATTATCTCAATAGAAAGAAGAAATAGAAGATTATGCAAGATTCAGTCACAATCACTAGATTTTTTTGTTACTCTTTATAATACCCACATCCTCCCTTGTGGCTAGAACTATGCTTGCCAGACAGACCTCCCAAATTCACCAAGAATGAAGTACCAGAGCAAAATACTAATCTGATAACTTTCAAATAAAAATCTCTATACATTTTTTTGCAGTAAGAGGAATCATCTTTTCTTCAATCCTTCCTCAAATATTACTTCCTCTAGAACAGTTTCCACCAGTTGGTTCCATATCAGCCCAACAGTGATTATAGATAAAAATACTTACTTACAAGAGACAGCTCTGAAAAAAAAAATCAAAACTGTCCTAAGAAATTTGTGACAGTCAAGCTACACGCATACTTTTTCGTGCAAAATGTGTATTTACTTTCCCTGCCTTGGTAGTTTGTCAAAGATGTGCTCAGTGTAGCAACATAAAGTCATTAAAGCTGAGCGAATAAAAGTTCACTGCTCTTGGATTGATTCTTCAACTGTTCAAGATCACTGGAGTTGTAGGAGTGATCAGTAAAGAGGTAACATTCAATGAAAGCCAGGTGTTGAAGCATCCTAACACCTGCAAGCCACAATTTATGATCAAATCTTCTTAGTAATGCGTACATACTAACTGCAGTCCTTAAAAGTCACAGCATGCCAGTTTGTCTGCAGTATACAAAACATTTCACTGAAGCCCACAGCCAAGTTCCACAAGGGGAGCCAATAAGCATCCCTTAGCAGTCATATCTGCACTTCCTTGTAGATGAGGCACTTCCAAGAATTTAGAAAGTCTGATGTCCAACAGCCCACTGAAGTAACACTCGTAGGAAAGGGCTCTGCCAGCCTTAAGAAAACCTTTTTCCTCTTAAGAAAAAAAAAGCAGTCCATGTAACTAGAGCTCCCATGCAGAGCTTTTTATTTTAGTACGTATCTGAATAATACTGACAGAAGACCTATTTGGCATGCATACTGACTTAGTAAAACTCTTGAGAGGGTATTTTCCTTGCTGCTTTCTTGACATGTATAGCAGACACTATCTGCTATGACACCGGTGCTTTTAGAATGGTCTATTTGGCAATGGAATGTCAAAGCTATGTTACAGATTGTTTATCCGGCATGGTCTCCTGCCATCTTTGTGGTCACTGCCTCTAAGTACCATGCAGTGTGAAAGTCACAGTGCAAACCAGCTAGGGTCTCAGATGAAGACAAAGAAAGGACAACTGAAACAGTAACAGTCATGTTGTTTCTTGGCTGCATGGTTATAGGAGTTGTTGACTGAACCAGAAATGTCTCCCCTTGGTTACTACTCAGACTCTCTCATTATATGAGCTGTTCTTGAAGTATGCAGCATTAGTTTAGCATTTAAAAGGCCCTTAAAGAGTCCTATAATTCAACAGTGAAGCCCAGAAAAAAACTTTTAGTGAAAAATCAGGCCAGATCCAACAGCCAGAGATAAGCAAGGCTGGTGTAGCTCGACGCCCCCAGGTTCAACCAGTGTCGACGCTGAGCATGTATTCCCAGCAGGCACTCACATACACTACCAACCACACTGATCAACACAGACAGGGCACTCGTGAACACAGACAGCACCAGTGGTCTCCTCCTGCTCCCCTATGGGATAGATCTATCCCCTCCAGCTCCTGGCGTCACAGGCACACAAGCCTCTAGCCCCTGGTCCCACTCCTGTGGCTGGCACATCCTTTCACTCACTCCTGTCTCTACAGTTACAGGCACTCAGGCACAAGGGCCCTATGACAGCCCTAGGAGTCCCTTCCTCCACATCTGTAATTTGGGTTCCTGCTCACCCTTGGGCCTCTCTGCTCCTCTGGGCTTGTGGAGCTGGGCCTGTGATGGGCTGATATCTTCCACGACGGGTCTGGGAGAAGCTGGGCCAGGGTATTATTTGGGCTCCCCCACCTGCCATTACCTCTCAGTGTTCCTTTGTGGGCATGAGCAGAGGAGCTTACCAGTCATAAAACCTCACAAATTACATCTAGAAGGCAAAGGACATACACAATTCTTTCTTACAGTCTGAGTTACAAATAAAAATCTTCCTCTTTAACCAGTAATAGAGAGAAATACATTCTGGCCCCAGACAAGCTCTACAGCAGAAACTATAGGAAGCATGTGAATAACAGTGAAGCAGAAGAACAGCAATGGAAGAATTACATTCTTTCTGTGATTACTACAGTTTCTCTGGTATCTCTTTCAGATGTTTTGTTGACTGTGGCTAATAATACTTATGGTAGAAAGGCTCTTTTTTATAAAGAAAAATATAGCCTCAAATTCAATATGGTTAACAAGGTAATGCCCAGAGAACTACAACCAACCTCTACATACAGCTTTTTATGCTAAATAATTCCATGTTTGACATCAAAAAAAAGAGGTCCTGAAAAACTTTAATTTACTTTAAGAATAGCTGTTAGTATTAGAACCCATTAAAATTCAGACCCAGCTTATCTGAGGGAAAAGTTCTAAAATGCTCCATTATAGAAGACTTCTCTCTTACAGAAATACTGATTTCTTTTAAGTCTGTCAGCAGTTTGTTCTGTGGTTCCACAGTACCTTAAAGCTGAGTTAGATCAGAGCTGCTGACGTCTCCCACTGCTGCATCAGCTATGGTTCTCCTTTGACTCAGGGTTCAGAGCCCTAAACTGGCCATAAAAATATTCACACACACCCCCTCCTTATTCCCATAGTTTACTACTACTTTAACTCCCTCAACTGGCTCCCAAAAGATCAGATGAGCTCCAACACTCATGCAAAGATAGGAGTGGAACAGATTGCTGAATGAAAACAGGAATGGAGATTTGACTGGAGCTATATCTTTGATCACCCTAAACTGTCATGAGATCCTAACTTTCAATTCAATTTCAGGAAAACAAACATATTAGTTATATGGTGTTACATATTTTACTCCCAAAGCAGACCAAAATGCCCAAGTCATCTCTGAACCTGCTACTTGCTTGCATTACTTTGCGACATGAATTTCAGAAAATTGTTCTTAGTATGTTGCCATTTTATAGAGGGATAGGAGAAGACATTGTGCTTGTCCATCTCCTAAAAGAGCTTTGGCTCTGGTGCCTTAGCACCAAAGATTCTTAAAGAAATAGCTAAGCAAGGCAGAAGACAACACGATCTTACTGTACCTGAAAGAATGGCCTCAACTGTTGCTAGGAAATCAATTTCTAACACAAATCCTGAGCTTGGTCAAATGCTGGTAGCAAGCTTCTACAAGCTCTAGTGAACATACACTAAAGGCAACTTTAGAGGCAAAGATTTAATCTGACTGAGCACTGATCCTCTGAAGGACAATGCCAACCTTTCTTTAGAAACCCCTCCCTGTTAGGGAGGCATTGTGTTCTACTGCTCTGCAGGACAGTACTGGATGGGTCAAAATTTACTGTTAGTCATTTTCAGGAATCATAGAATGGTTTGGGTTGGAAGGGACCTTAAAGATCATCTATTTCCAACCCCCCTGCCATGGTCAGGGACACCTTCCACTAGATCAGGTTGCTCAATGCCCAGTCCAACCTGGCCTTGAACACTTCCAGGGAGGAGGCAGCCACAGCTTCTCTGGGCAGCCTGTTCTGGTGTCCCACCACCCTGACAGGAAATAACTTCTTCCTTCTATCCATTCTAAATCTACTCTCTTTCAGTTTAAACCTGTTACCCTTCATCCTGTCATTACACTCCCTGATAAAGACTCCCTCCCCATCTTTTCCTTAGTCCCTCTTTAAGTACTGGAAGGCTGTTATAAGGTCTCCCTGGAGCCTCCTCCTCTCCAGTCTGAACAACCTCAATTCTCTCAGCCTGTCCTCATAAGGGAGGTGCTCCAGCCCGATCATCTTCATGAACCTCCTCTGTACTCTCTCCGACAGGTCCATGTCCTTCTTATGTTGGGGACCCCAGAGCTGGACATAGTACTGGAGGTGAGGTCTCACAAGAGTTGAGTAGAGGGGGGAGAATCACCTCACTTGACCTGCTAGTCATGCTGCTTCTGATACAGCCCAGGATATGGTTGGCTTTTTGGGCTGTGAGCACTCATTGCTGTCCCACAGTCAGTTTTTCATCCACTAGTACCCCCCAAGTCCTGTGCAGGGCTGCTCTCAATCCACTCATGGCTCAGCCTGTATTTGTGCTTGGGATCGCCCCAACCCATGTGCAGGACCTTGCACTTGGCCTTCTTGAACTTCATGAGATTCACACAGGCCCACCTCTCAAGCCTGTCAAGGTCTCTCTGGATGGCATCCCTTCCCTCCAGTGTGTCAATCACACCACACAGCTTGGTGTCATCAGCAAACTTGCTGAGTGAGGGTGCACTCAATCCCACTGTCCACGTCACTGGTAAGGATGTTAAACAGCGCCAGGCCCAATATCATCCCCCAAGGAACGTCACTCACCACTGCTCTCCACTTAGACATTGAGCCATTGACCACAACTCTCTGAGTGGGACCATCCAGCCAATTCCTTATCCACCAAGTGGTCCATCTGTCAAATCCACATCTCTCCAATTCAGAAGCAAGGATGTTGTGTGGGACGGTGTCAAATGATAGATTCTCTTGTGATACTGCCTTGTGCATTTCAGTAAACAGGACACTAGACTAGAGGAGTCTTTGGCCTGACCTTATGCTCTTACAGATACCTATCATCTTCTTCCAACAGCACAGAACTACTTATTATGTAGCAGGCATCAACATGGAAAGTGAACTATTGGCATCTGACTGAAATACAAGTGATTAAAAATGGATGGCTGTAACAAAACAAGCAATCTGATGCACGGACATCACTAAAAACTCTACCTATAAATAAGCATATTTTCTCAAAGCAAGAATGAGGATTATTTCACTCAGCATTATATCTCAGTGTTTCAGCCTGTGCAATAGTTTTTACTTAGTTTAAGAAAAGCATTCTGCCACTGTGGTTAGGAACAGTCTTCTTCTAAAAGGACAAGTAATGTAATTGTTTCAAAACTCAAAAAACCCCCATTGCTAACTAGGAAACTACTTTCTTCCAGCCATAAGACAGATTTTCCTCAGAGAACAAGCTCCTGGCTACTATATTCTGCTTGCTTGGTGAAGCAGAACTTCCTGACAATTATCACTAGGCAGGTCAACTCAGCTATGCAGTTTTTGATTGCCCTGGATGCTTCAATAAGTGATCCAATCCTCCTAACACTGAATAACAGAAACACATTATAGACAAATACTGAGTAACATAACACGGAGAAAGGCTTTTAGTATTAAGACAAATTACTTTAGTGACAAATGCTACATACACCTTATTAGACCTTTCAGAATCACAAAATCTTTGTCCAGCTGATGTTGCCAGGACAGCAGTATTACACAGGACACATAGCAGAAACTTAACAGTGCTGTTAAGTGAGAAAAATAAAAGTAATTTCCAAACTTGGAGAATATTAAAACAAAAAAAGCCATCCCCCCCCCCTCCCCCCCAACCTTCAACACCAAAGTAAGACCATGCACTGAATTCTCACTTTCAGTTTAAACCACCTCAAATTCAGGGTCTGTAATTGTTTTTTTGTTGTTTTTTTTTTTTTTCAGGTTAAAGATGCATCTGAAAACAAAGAAACACGTTATTTTGTAGCTGACACATTAGAGTTTTCTCAATTTTCAGGGCTCCTGACTGACGAAAGAAATATAAATTAGAAGTTATTAGCTGGAATACTGCATGCTGAGTCACTGAAAAAGCAATTTCACCTTTAAAATAAGAGTTTACATCATGTATTGGAAACGTTCACGTAGTTCTACATGCACTTGGCACGTTATTTTGAAACTAGGAACTCTGAAGCTTTAGAATTCTTGCCAAGTTCAATTAAATATATTCAAATTCATAACTGAATTTCCTCACCAGAGTTTAAGAGTTCTTCAATTAATGACACATCACCACGAAACAGAGCCTTCTTTAATGCTTCATTCTTATCTGCCTGCAACATTTGATCCAACTGCTAGATAAGCAAAGGAAAATTAAGTCAAAACCTAGTAACTTTCAAGGTAAAAACTACAGCTTGATTTCAGTATAAAAGGGCAAAGCAGAGCTCAGGGGCGGGGGGGACGGAACAAGGTAAAACTTTCCTTCTGCCATCTCTGTAGACCCATTTAGAGTCTACTGTAAAACATAAGTTTTAAAATTAACTTTTCAGAAAGGTTCCATTCTCTGAAAATGTAAATATTTTCTCAACAGACCCGCTATCCTCCTATGCCACGCTCAGTTTTTCTTAATGGTATTTGATTTCAATTAAGATTCTTTTTCATCTTTTGGTGCTACAAAAATGTTGCGACACCTTTATGTACCTTTTTTGTACATTTCACACGTTGCAAAGCACAGCATTCAGAAATGTATCTACCAGACATAAAAGTCAGAGTTGAGGCAACATAGCTCAGCAATTTGTTGCATGGCTTAATGCAGCATGAATCTACTGCTGGAAAGGGTTACTGTTCCTCTTTCCTCCTCCCTCTGTGGTGGCAGAGGAATTGGTATTGCTGCATCATAAGTGACCGGGCTGAAAAATGCTCTAACTAAAGGACTAGTTGCCTGATTCAAGTTCTTTCAAAAGGATCACAGATTTGTTCTCTGTTGAAGCTCCAGATGCAGCTGAAGACTGCTGATGGCATTATCTAGATTACTGATGGCATTATCTAGATTATACAAAACACTGACATACAGCGGTAAGTGGAGAACTATTCACTAGTTTCTTTGCAGACAGAAATTGTCATGAAAAGAAAACACATTCTGTAAGTTCTGAAGTCATAACACAAGAGCTCAGAATTATACAACTTCCCCCTAGCACACTGTAGTATACCTTTCCAATAACTTTTGCAAAGATTTTAATAAGTGCTCAATATATAAGAAACCAAAATGTGAGAAACAGCCAATATAATAAGTTAGCCCTATTTTTTCTCTTTTCAGTCAACAATTTATAAATAATGCATATCTTTCGATAAGAACCTCAATTTAATGGTTAAGGCCCCGAAAAACTGACTATAACCTTCAGCAAGAGTACTGCAAGTATTCAGTTACTTCCACTTCCTATTCCAGCCATGAGAAAAACCAACAGCTAAAAAGCCCTGCAGAATCTCCCTCTACCTCACACTATCCAACGTCTCACACCTAACATGTAATAAAATCACTTAAATCTTCATGTTAACGAGAAACAGTCTCAGAGATGCAAGATATAAAACAGCTTTATGGGCCTCTAGTCGGTTTTAAATTTATTCTCATGTCGAAGTAGGAACTGGGGTCTGTTATTAAAGGGAGAAAAGGGCTTTAAATAATCATTAAGGTTTTATGTAAGATGACAAACCCTGAAAATTTAAGTTGTATTTACACCTGGATTCAGGGTACACCGCTGTTACCCTGCTAGGAAATAATCCCAGCCGCCGGCCGCAGCTCCTCCCGAGGCCGCCCTCCTCGAGCGAGGCCCACCGCGCCCCGCTCCCCTCACCGCGGCCTCAGGCCGGCGCCGAGCCCGCTCCGCCGCCGGCCCCAGTTCGAGGTCGCCGGGAGCGCGGCGCCTTAAGCCCCACCTGCGGCTCAACCCCCACGACGCCGATATCCCAGCCGTCCTCATCGCTGTCGCCGTCCTCGTCCCCCCCCGCCACGACGCGGGATCCCCACGCCGCGGCGGCCATAGCGCGGTGGGTCACGTGGCCCGCGGCGGCCGCGCCGCTTTCCCGCGCACGGGGGCTGGGCGGTGCCGTAACGGACCGTCGCGTGCCGGGTGCGTCGCGTGCCTCCGCCCGCTGCCGCTCGGAGCGCCGTGAGGCGCCCGTTCTTGCGTCAGCCGTTTCTGGGCTAGGTCCGTGGTGATGTTGCAGCGTCAGATAAAATAAACCAGTACGGCTTACGGTTATAAGTACGTGGGAACGTAACGTGGCTTGCTGGTGGCTCGGCGGTTTTGCGAGGCGTGAGGTAACGCGGAAGGGCTGGCTATGAAGTTGCCTCTCTGGATCTGTGACTGGTATATGCGTGTAAATCCGAGGCAAAAGATAAGGTTTTCTCTCTTTTAATTTCTGCTTTCATTAATACACTCTTAAAATGCCACCCAGCCTCATAGCAGTCCGTTAGTTACATTACTTACGTGAACGTACACGTGCTGTTACATAGCAAAGAGCCCAAGGTGGTGACAGTTACGTGGGGGAAGTTGAGCACCAGCCACCTGTAATGAGCTAAGCTTTCACACTGCTCCCTTCCACCTGGGTATATACGAGCATTGCTTTCAGTTTCGAAATTGTGGTTAGATTTCTTCCTAATGACAGATAATAATGTCTCATCCATCACAAGGTCCACATGAAACTCTCTGAAGATTTCCCGTGAACAAAAGAGGACAGAAGGGAAAAAGTTTGGTCTTGGAGAAGAGGCAGGTGCTAGTACAGAATGGTTGAGTGTAGTCTTTAGACCCATGACAGCATAGAAGTGTGATTTTTGAGAAGTTCTTTTTAACAAAAATTTAACTCAATCAGAAGGTGACTGTGAAGCATTTCTTCTTTTTTTTTTTTTTTTTTTTTTTTTTTTTTTTTAAATTTTCTTTTTGATGCAATGCAGTGTGTAAGGCAGCTTTCACCATGTTGGGAATTTGCAGGTTAGTTGGAGCTGTGCTTAGAACGTACCAAGTGCTGTAAAAATTGCACTTACTAAAAAAACCCCACCATGGCCTGCATATTTCTGCTGTGTGCTCATGTTTAACAGCTGTTTTTTTCTGGATTTGAGTTGACTGTAAAATATGACAATCCATTTGCATAAAAGTATTATGAAAGTCAGATTACTAACAATAAGGAACTCTGCTATAGAGCTAGCAGAGCATTTTAAATGAACTCCCATGAAAGAAGCTTCCAGTTTTGGAAAATTGATGAAAGGCAAAAACCTTTCCTTTCACACAGCCTCCCTAGAACAAAAGATGCTAAAATTGAGTCACCTGTAATACATACCTCTATATAAAGACTTAGCTTTATGTGCTTATTTTGGATTTACCTGCATATACTAAAAGTCTGTTTAAATTATTTTGGTAATGAGGATATAACATTTACTGGATGTAATAATTGAACATTTTTGTAGCTATGTCAGTTCTTATAAAATTGTAACTTTTATTTTCAGAGTTTTCAGTTTTCTCATCACTGGCCTGAAGATTTCTCGTGTCATTTTCTGCCTGCAGAGGAAAAGTAGAATTTATGTCATTGTCATCTAGCTTCTTTTTATCTATATGAGTCTACCAGTCCTCAACAATAAAGTCTCCATATCCAGGATCAAGCTTGCATAATATTCTTTGTTTGGCTCAGCTATGTTGCAGAATGTGGGCTTGCTAATAGAATTAAACTGTAAAGACAACTGTGTGTGACTTTTACAGTTACCCAGATGCAGTGCAAGAGACTTGTTTCTAACTGGTGATGGTACTATGTATAAATTCCTTACATTTTTAATATACTACCAATTATTGTGTATTTGGCAATTATGATTTATTTGTACTTGTTCATGTTTCAAAGTTCGAGATCGGTTGGGTTTATTTCCTTCCCTTTTCTCTGCACCATCTCATGTACAGTTTAAAATGTCACAACAGACACTCCAAATGCAACCTGCGTGCTGCTGCTTTGCTCAAAGGCCGCATCTCTTTAAAAAGATCACCTTCAGTAACAGGCCTGACAATCCCTAGTACTACAAAATCCTTTTCAAAAGCTCACGGTGTAGAAGAGCCTTGTAGCCAGATACACCTGATAGTTGTTTCAAATGTGAACATGCTGATCTTGCAGAAGTTGATGGCAGGTGCTCTCTCCTTGTGTGTTTGCTGGGAACTGTAAATCAGATGTTATTGTTGATGTGGACTCTCCCTTTTCTTTTTCACATTCTTGCTCCAGTTCATTTGTGACCTTGAAGCCTGTCTTTGTTTTTCAGCTAAGCAGACTCTTCATTTTGGTTGACAGTATCGTAAGTCCTGGCTGTCATCCATACTTGCCAAATATCAGTATGTTTCTACTTACTCTGGTAGGAGCAGTTTCCAACATTTTTCCTCATTGCTATGCATTACTCATTTTACTTGCAGGAGGAGAATAAAGAATGGCTCAAGCTGGGAAAAAGTCTCAGAATAATTTCCTGTATCACAAGGGGCAGCAGAACAAGCACTGAAAGCCAACTCTAAAATAAATACCTAATCTGTGTGTATCCTAGCTCCGTGCACTTGCATGTCAGCCTATACTAAACATACCTGTTAAAAATCCAATGACTCGTAATGGCATAGCAGTCACTGAATACAGTAAATAACTGTATTCTTGTGAGAACCTGTTTTTGGTCTGAATAATATAACTTCCTTAATACACTTTCTGTCTGTCTTCAGCCACCCTCCTTGCCAGCCATACTTGCGTTTAGACTCAGCTTATTTTTATTCATCGGCTTTTAATCTTCTCTCATTACTTCTGGTATTAAATAGATTTGATTAGTTGTCTGAATTTCTTCTGTGTTTTTATCTGTACCTCATGTTTTGTCTTGTGTTTGACTGGTATATGCATAGCTACAAATTTTTATTCAAACATGGTTGCCAGAATATTCCAGAATGTTTTACCTGGTTCAGTTTCCTCTGTTTCAGACCGAAAGGCTGAATCAGCAAATATTTAAGGGCTTTGACATTGGGAAAGTAATGTTCTTGGGAGGAGGATCAGAATTGGTAAATGTTTAAAGAGAACGACTGTAAACCTTAATGACTGCTATAACTAACATTCTACTAACAACAAAGCATCTAATACTTTAGAAGTTTAGCAGCAATAGCATTTTAATGGAATTCTTCTTAGTTCTCTATCACAGCTACTAGTTTGAGTAACAGTCTATGCCCTTTCAATATTATTCTTATGTAATTTTCATCATGGTAACATTACTTAGAGTAAAACTCAGTGATTTTTTTATCTTTATGTTAGCTAGATATTACTTTGACAAACTTAACTGAACTGTAGGACAACAAATAAAAGGTCTTGAACCCATTCCTTCCATGTTCTCCTAATTTATTCATGCAGAAGAGGAAAGAAGTCCTTGTGCAAGGTCTGGGCACTCCAGAAAGAAGGGACTTAATAATTGTGAGAGGTTTAGTAGCTCTGGGTCTACTGAATTGGTAAATTACCAACAAATTTTTTAGCTGAGAGATGGTGAAGTACCAGCTGTACTAGTTCCACAATTAGGGGCAGGACATCATACAGGAATTTGCATAATTTGCAAGAAGTCCCATAAAGTAGCACAGGTGCTTGCAATTTCACAGATCATGTTCATGAAACAATTGGGAAACAAAGTACTTCATAGTAGTTTAGGTTTTTCTGGGTGAATTTTCAGCTGACTTGTATGTACCTGTACCGTCTCTTATTTTTAAGGTATTTCAAGTATAAAGAAGGTCTCATATTACAAACTTTCACTTTCTAGACTGCCAAGGCATTTATTCTGTAAAAAACACTAAAGTGATTTGTGTCCTTTCTGTGATCTGTGAAATCACCGTATGTATTAAACCAGTTTTAGTTTTGCAATCCTCAAATTTTGTTATGAGCTGCTGCACTACAGCAAGTCGAGTTATTCATAGTTATTTCAGTCATTGTTCTAATAGCTGCCAGTAGAGGGAAAGCATTTAATTTCAGCTGTTTTGCTTCTGATAATTCATATTTTATAGCTGTGTTCATTCTGTCCACTTTGCCAAATCTGACTGGATAGTACATGATGTGAAACTTTCAATCTACTGCCAAAAGCTTGATTATAAATTGCATACTGACTGTTTTCCTGTTCATAAAATTTGTTTTCTGGTAGCAGCCTTAAACCATTGTCAAAATGAGACCACACAAACTAATTAATGGAGAATTCATGGGTGTGGTATAAACCTTAATCCTTTTCAGGACTTCCTAAGCATCAAAATCATGAAAATATCTCTTATTATAGTAATGTATAAAACACTCTAGAACAGGAATTAAGGTGTTGAAGATAATTTTTTTTTTTTTTCCTCCCTTGTCTCAGGTGCATTTTTAGCTTCTTTCCATATAACCTAAAAGCTTTGGTCTGTATAGCAAGTCCATGTCAAGATGATTCCTGCTGTTACTAGGTGCATCCTCTGTTAAAAATGCCTCATTCCTCCACTATCTCTACTCTGTTCTACACTATTTCATCCTGTTAATCTGGACTGGCAGTACTCCCATTTCATTATCATGTTGCTGAATGGTGAGTACCTTCTTGTTTCAGCCTGTTTACTCTCTTCTGATCCTCAGGCAGCCACTTCTAATAGTAATGCCTGTCTCTTAGAAACTCAAATGTTTGAGTATGCTAGTGGCTGTTCATATGATCAAGTGGTGCTTTGAACTTTCTCCACCATTTAGCTTTTATTCTTATATATCTCTTTATTTATCATTTTTATCAAGATTGAAGGTTATCCACATATTTCCATATATTCACATATATAATATTTTTGTTAGTTGCCACGTTCTTATTTTGCTCTGACCAATTCTAAAGGAATATGGTGTCTTGGACTGAATCAAAAGCTCTTCTTGCTTTATCATGTTTGGTGGTTTTCTTTTTAGCAAAACATGCAATCTAATTGGTATTTTTGCACACTGAACTGCCTTGCTATCATAAGTTTAACACAGGATATTAACTCTCTTATTGTCTCTTATTTTTATGGCTGTTGCCGCTGCTCATCAGTAGTCTCTCGGCACTGTGACAACTCCCACACAAATACCATCTTCTTGGACGTGTTTGCTTGAGTTTATTAAGTCAG